AGAAAGTTAGTTAATGGCAAACAAGTGTTGTTTGTCTTCTGTTTCTTAAAACCTCAAACGCTTAATAATGAGTAAAGAGGTTATCGCGCATAATGAAAATAAAACTTTTAAGTCAATACATTTCATGGGATTCGGAAAATAGAGACGAGGGACCACCAAGGAAACGCCAAAAGCGTGACTGGTCGCGGGATCTGGATAAAAGGTTTGATTTATTGTGACAACAATTAGTGGAGTCATGTGAATAATATTTTAGCTTCAAATTATGCTATTACTGGCCGTGAACCGGTGGCACCCCCTTTACACTTACAGATATCAACAACTTATAATAATAGTGTTTCTAATCTTGCTTCAACATCCATTCAAAGACAACGTCTGACGAACAGTTTTGTGCCTTTTTGGCCCAAAACGAATTCGTAAATATTGCCTTACAAAGCCTTGTTGACTGGTCTAATTCATCAGATGTTCAGCTTAATGCTTCCTCTATTTATGAAAAATTGAAACAGCTATTTGGTAATGATTCCGGCTATAAGACAGTTTCTCAAGATATCCTTCAGATTACTTGCGGTAAGCAAGCTTAGATGTTAGAATTACGCCGTAGAGACCTCTTAAAGAAATTAAAGGACAAATATATCAGAGAAGATTTAGAGAAAATTTCTTGTGATTATTATGTTTAACCCTGGATTACAAACTGCATATATACAATAAATTGGTGGTATAGATAAATTACAAAAGCAGACGCCATCTGGTATCCGCACTCGGCCCAAATCGCCGAAACTCCAACTTCAAATGCCAATGGAAAGCCATTTCGAGCTAGGCCAAATTCCAATAAAATTAAACAGGTCGAAAACAGAGACCATTTCTACCCAAATAACTCCTCGGCAAAGAAAACGGGGGAGGGGTACACAAGTACAAAACTGGAAGAAAGTCGGGAAATAAAAATAAATGACTCGACAGGATTTTCAGGCCGGTGTCTAAGACTCTATCGAAACACCTGGAGTCGCTTTAATGCACCCAACGTAATATTAAAATTAATAACAGTTGTTCAAATTCCCTTCATCGAAACACCTCCACTGGTTCTTCCTGCCTTGGATGTTTTAGCAAAATTTCAAACTCCAACATCACGGTTAATGTCGATCGAATTTCAGAATTTAAGTCAATTGAGAGTTTTAGAACCCGCTCCCCTGACACCATCTTTAATGTCCAATGGAAAATAATCGAACAATTTTCAATCTCAAGGCGTTGAATCAATACATGAAACCGAGACATTTTCATCTTTTCCACCATCACCAAGGTCCCAAGTTCTTACAACAGGGAGATTGGATGATCAAACTGGATTTAAGCCAGGCCTACTATCATCTACCGATAAAAAAGCAGCACAGAAGGTTTCTCCAGATCAGTTATCAGGGTCGTCTACTTCAAATGACTTGTCTGCCATTCGGTATAGCTGCAGCACCGAGGATTTTTGTTTCAGTAACAAACTGGACAGCCGATACTTCGCAAGAACGGTCTGCGACTAGTGGTCTATCTAGACGATTATCTACTGGTACACCAGGACAGAGAAGTTTTGGAAGCTCTAGTAAAGGTGGCCGTACTTTTTCTGGCCAGCTAAGGTTGGTGGGTCAATATGGAAAATTCGGTTATGACAACGACGAGATTTCATTCTGGGAATCGTATGGGACACCAGATCCAACAGCAAGTCCCTGCCATTGGACAAAATACAAAAAATCCGTCAGAATTTGCTCATGCGACCACAGCAACAAGCTCAGGAGGTATCCTCACTCACGAAAGCAGTATCCGGACGAGGTACGTACAGTACGTGGAGTGGTGGTTAGAGAACATCAGTCAGAGGACACCAATTCATCCTCAGAGAATGGCCACGAAACACGACCAATTAGACCAATTTAGCGACCTGCAGCGGAACTCAGACGATGTACTCTCCCCGATGTACCCTCCAAACTCACACATAATACAAATTTTATTGGAAGGTAAAATTTTTATCTTGATTAAATTTGATTAATAAAACGGAATACTAAAAATTAATCATATAAAATTTAAATTCGGAAATTCTAAATAAAATAAACCGAATCTAAACGTTGATAGAATTGGTACTAACAATAACATATTGCTGGATGTATTCAAACAAGTGGGTTACTAGGATGTAATTTGGACTGTTTGAAATTCACATAGGTTATGCCTTTATGTAACTTTAGTGTATTTCAATATAGTATTTCGATATATATATATATATATATATATATATATATATATATATATATATATATATATATCTATAGCCTGTTTTATATCACGGATAAAAATATATTTTTATGTAACATAAAAATAATAAATTGCATAACTTCTCTCGTTGCTTAAATTTTGGTTGATTATGACGATGATTTGATTCTTTAAAATTATTCGCTTTACTTGAAATGAGACTTAAAAGTGGTCATAAAATAAGTGCAAACTTTGTAACAGCACCTCACTAAAAACGAATTGCAGATTGGTGAATTTGAACCCGCCCGTGCAAATATATTTAGTACTCATTACCACTATCTAAATATAAAACGGATAACAATGGCAGTGTCGTGGTCAAGTCTCAAGATCTATAGTGACGCGGGCTGCGGTCACGCGCGTTTCGGATATTTATAGATTAACGATGGCAACGGTACCGAACTATGGATCGGATCCTAAAATAATTATAACAATATTCGAATTAAAGTTACTAAATGATTAAAATGGCAACCGCATACGCAAGACGTTATAAAGTTAAGTACATGCGTCAATGCAATTACTTTTTATTATGTGAATTAAAATATATTACGATTAAATATATTTTTTGTGTAAATACTTGGAAAGAGAGTAGGTCATTCACCTGATGTTAAGTCACGACCGCTATGTGAGGATTGCAGAGGTGTTGCGTATTATGAAAAAAGTGGGTCCTGGTTAGGAAATGTAAACATTTAATGATCACTTTCAAATTCATGTCCGCAAACAAACCTTTAATGCATCTGTAAAACATAAAATTGTCTAACAAAATATGTGAGTAATTTGCTAAAATTCGTTGTTGCAATGCTTGCACTTTTCTGTTAAATAAAAAATTGTTATCTACACTGTCATTCCTAGCGCCTATTTAAATATTTCTAAAAAAAGTGTAAAACAAATGATAAGACGATAATTTCCATAGTACTCGTATGAGAAATTAATCTAAAAACAGTAAATTCTTGAAACATCGTTTTAGTAGCGTAAAACTTCTGAGATTAGAAGAACAATGTTTTGTTTTCGATTAATATGTACTAAGTTAAATATCACAATTAGTTATTTTTTTATATTCCTATTATTTTAGTCGTTACAAGTTCTCGCGTGATTTTATTTTAAAGACGCGATTGCTCAGTGACCGGGCGCTCGTTTTTAGATTAACTGTACTCCAACAAACTAATTGCTTATCGCAGTATTGACAGCAATGAAAATATTAAAATTGTTTGTTGCTCTTTGTTTACATCAGATTGTTGTTGTTGAATCTTCATTTACCCTTTGAGTAAGTCGCTTAAAATAAGGACGACTAAAACTACATCCTTTGCTTTGGTGTTTAAGCTACAGCACCTCGCGCTACACTATTAATATAATAGTTTTTTTTTATTGATTAACAGCTTATCATCGCGGCATGAAGGTGTTATTGGCTGATAGTTGATTGTAGCATAGAATTGTCAACATAACTCTCGTTGGTTCATCATGCTTTACCAACGTAGAAAATGCCTTTCTAGCGATTTCTTCTGCTGATTCACCAAAACTTGTCGGCTCTATCTTTAGAGTTCCTTATCTAGAGCAGCGATTAGCTAACAAAATTGTTTTGACAGTTTCCAAGCATCTGTAAACGGCATTTTATTTAAAGTACTATTTTAAACATTAGCGATTGTTCCATTTGATTTTTTTTAATGAGATGAGAGCTTTTAATACGAGTGATCGGTTTATTAACAGTTTTTCTTCCTTAATATTTCATACGAAAAAATCGCAAAATATGGAGAAATAAATCAAACATAGATTTTAACCCCCAACGTCAAAAGAAAAATGTTATAAGTTTGATGTGTTTGTATATCTGCTTGTCTGTCTGTGGCGTCATACCATCTAAACGAATGGAATGATTATAATACGTTGTTTTTGTTTGAAAGTGTCTTACTAACTTTTATAGGTCCGAAGGATTTGAAATTTTGTGTACTTCAGTGGTAAGTACTTCCTATGCTAACCTTGATGGCGTAGATTTACAATTCCTCAGAAATTTACAGCAAATATAATGCTTTTGGGCTCATAAGAATAGTCGCAATGAGAAAGTGTTAGATTGATGATGATTAAGGCCACATGGTAACTGTCGACAGGCACAGCTCCGGCGCGGTTTTTAACTTATTTGTGTGTGGTGGTTGCATAAAAAGTTTAATTCTATATTATTACCACAGCAATTTTTACATCACATTTGTTCTGGATTTATGCATAAATTATGTTCTTGCAGCTCGTATACCTATGTTTAAAATCAAAACACAATTATTGATAATAAAATTTCAAAATTTATAGTACTTCGTAATAACGAGTTTTGGCATTTAACATTGAGATTTGGTACGTTAGTGAACTTTACCAATACAAACTATATTTATCAGTTATCTAGTACCCATAGTACAAGCGTTGCTCAGTTTAGAACTAGTGAACGTTGTGTAAAAATGTCCTGAAATTACTTATTTATTTATTTAAACATTGTTGTCATATTAACATTTTTACTAACGAAAATAAACAACACCAACTATATGTTTTCTATTTAATTGTGAAGAGTTCTTATATCTTTCCGGGACCTGTATCGAATTTTTAATATCGCTTCAAAACGACAGAGTTCTGAGGACCAACAAAAAAAATTTACGATAGATTTGAGGACCACCTCCTTTTTTGAAGTAGGTTGAATAATTTACTCATAAAAAGGCAATAAATATAAAGATTAGGTACGTTCCTGAGCCTCTTACCGAGCAAAGCTTGAAAAAGCCTTGATTTAAAAATCCTGATGACCCTCTCGATAGCGAGCCTGAGTTGGCGGTCTTGGGGTTTCACCAGTTTGCTGTGGTAGTCTTCCAGCAGTTCCAATGCTCGGTGGGCTTCTGACAACAAAAATATATGAATATTTCTATATTTTATTTTATACCCACGGTGAACTAAAAATTTTAATTATAATACTAGTAAAGAATTGTCATATATAAGCATTACTAGTGTAAGTATAGTGTAATTATAGTAGTAAACAGCGTATTGTAAAACGCAAGTTTTATTTTTAACCTGAGAAAATTTTTGTGTCTACCGAATTACGCTTCTATTAGTAAGGAACTATATAAAGTCCTGACTTGCCCAAGTGCTATCACAACGAGTTCGTTGTTATTAGCTAAAAAATTCTTCTTTCTTCTTTCTTGAATCGCCTACAACTTATTGGCTTTTTTATCTATGGCATCTATGTGCATTCTTGTTTACCTAACATAAGGATCGATTAATATAACCAAGGTAAATGATCTTTTATACTAAATTTGCTGAGCATCATTTACAAAACGCTGACAGACTGGTCTTCAAAAATTTACAAGGACTCGCGGACTAGAAAATTAAGTATTTTTCTAGTACGGGCAAGGACAGTTACATTATAGAAGCAAAATAACTTAAACGGAATAAAGTAAGATATCGTTCGAAGGGTATCTAAATTGAAAAAAATATATATTTTAATGTATGTGAAAATAAACATTAATTGTACACTGTATACACTAATTAAGAATAATCAATTGTTTTTTTTTGTCTTCATTAGGTAATTACCTACCAATAGAAATATGTATGTATAATTTTGACGTAAGTTAAGTCAATAGAGCAAAACACTAATTCTTATTAATATTATTTTTTACACAGAGCACAATCTTAATATTCTAGATTACTTTATTATTACGTATAATATTATTATGAGATCGAATTTCTTTAAAAGTTCGGACTGCGGTTCTTAACTCTTAGCTTTACAGTAGAGGCAGAGTATCATTTATACCGCAATTAACCAGTGCCCCGTCAGCTGGAACGCTATTATATACCACCATCTCACATAAAGTTTCAGTTTCTAAGCAGTATAACTAACCTCTAGGATAGTCAAATAAAGGACTGGGGAATACCAGGATTTATTTCCTCCATTCCCTTCCGCCGGAACGACTACTCTCAGCATGTCTTCATTATTATGTTATGACTTACACCATTCGAACGAAAAGCTCCTGTTCATCGTCGGTAATGCGTACATGAGCGAAACAATATGACGGCCTTAGTCCTTCAGGCAAATTATATTATAAACGACAAATTTTACAAAAACATAGTTTAAACATTTTATGAAAATCAGCGGAATATTGTTGTTGTTGTTGTTGATTAACTTTCATATACAGGCCTTGTGATGGCGTTGACAATTGTGGGTCATTACAAATCATAAGTCCATAGTAAAAAAGGAAAAAAATAATAATATCGTTCGCAATTATTAAAAAAAACATGTTTTAGTTTTAAACAATATTGCTAAGAGTTTTTTTTACTACCGATTTGCCGGAACAGACGGAAAGGCTAACATTATTTAGTAATTAAAGATATTGACGTAAACATACAGAACAGTCAATTTTGAAGTAAAGTATGCGCTAAAATTTATTTAACTTTCTAATACGGCATATAAATAGTTCAAGGGTCCTTCTTAAACAGCAGAAATACGTAGCTCGAGAATTTTAATTCAAGCAAATGGTATTGATGGGATTACATGAAGGCGTTGCTGCTTTTACAAATCATAGAGAAGCCGTAAAAAGAAAGTGCTAAGCAAGAATAACTGAGTGAACCGCATTTTTCAATATTGAGTTTCAATACAAGTTGTACCCGACCATGTATGTAAAGTCATATTAAGTGGTTATAGATTTTTTGATCTCGGTAAGCTTATAAATACCGCATAGCTATTTATATTTATGTAGATTAATATGTCACAAACATACACACAGTACATGAGTAGAGTTATATACATTTTTCATTTTTTTTATTCTATTAGATTTTTTGAATCTTTTAATATAAATTATGACGAATTGACGATAAGTTTAATTTAATATTAAGAATAAGGTATATTAAAAAAAATAACAGATACAAAAATCCAATTTACGCACCATGTCTGGCAACCCCGTAATATTAACTTTTATTAGTACATACATACCATGTTAATACTAGGTATTATTTTTTTTAATATTAAAAAATCTTTTAAATCATTAAAATTAAAAAAAAATCACCTTGCTTGCGAACTGGCATCACGGTACCTCCCCCTAATATTGTTTTGTAACACTAATAAAATATTCAGATCAAAACAAAACGAAACAATCGTTTCACAAGACCACTGTGTAATATTTACTTCATTTTAACCGATTTTCATTACAATAAAAGTCATTTTTATCACAAAAGGGGTCGCACAACGAAAACATAAGACTGCATGAAATAATATGCGACACTGATATCGCACTCGTGAGGGTCATAGAATACAGTGCCAGATGGGATTGGTCGATTTTCCCTGTGACGTCAGAGGGTGGTTCTATAGACAACGTAAAATACAAGGGGTAGTTTTTCGATTTATCGAGAAAGAATTTTCGATTTGTAGTTTTTTTCTCATGTTTTCAATTACTTTAATAAAATCCCCTTTCGCCAATTTCTTCGGTAATAAATAACGTAAGAGTTATTTTATAACAAGTAATCGATATCAATATTCAAATGTAATGACTTTTTTGCATTTGACATTGTTGTACGTTGTCTGTAAGTAATAACAGATAATTTTGTAATAATAACAGAATTATATGATATTTTTTTTTATTTGTGCATATTTCTGAAGTCAGGTTCACATTTTTTTCAAGCTAAAATCGATTTAAAGTAAACATATCAACTGATTAACCTGAGGGTAAGTATAGATTTAATGATGCGAAGAAAAGAACTAGGTTGTAATTTCTTCAGCGGGCAATAAATAATTTTTAATTTCATGGTGAAATAAACAGTGCCTTTATTTAGAATAATTTATTACATTTTGTGTTTTCTTTTATTAATTTATTATGTTTGATGTCTCTGCGTGTGCATAAATAAATAAGTTTTAAGTGAACTTTTATCTTTTACAGCAAGGAAAAATCTTGGACTTTGTAACATTTCGTGATGTAGGCTGATATTATTCAGTGTCTGTGATATAGTTCATTGAAAGCATTTGCTATCTCTTAACCTCACCAGGAATTACGCGAGAATTGTTTTTATCAAAAACACAATAACTATCATTGTTATTATTGTAGCAAAGATGAGTATGTAGCAACTTCTTAGGTACATATCAGACTTCCGTTTTTCTTTGTTAGTCTAGATAAGCCTTAGCTTTTAGCTCTGTTCATCTCAAATACTTACGAAATATAAATTTACGAAAATACTAATTTCACAAAAACCATTACTTTCGAAAGTTAAAAGCTCCATAATTAGATAAGCAACGAGAATGCGAAAAAGACGTTAGGAAAACGGTTGAGGAAAAATCGTGTATAGGCTGCAAATCTAAGACCTTGCCCTTGCCGGTGAACGTGCTGTACCTGGTCTAAGTTTCAATCAAAGCAGTGGTTGTCATAGTGGCATAGTAGTGTCACAGTGTGGGTCATTAATCTGGTCGGGTCTCTATAATCGCAAACGGCAAGGCATTGTCGGTTGATTGCTGACCTGAAAGTCATTGTGAATTTTTGAAGGTATACTTCTTTAGGCTCCTTGGGAAAAAAATATAGGAGTAAAATTTTTATGATGCGCATGCACACCCATAGCCAAAATGTAACTTAATGAAGTTGGTTGCATAGCGACCAACTTCACAGTACTACCATGGCATCCACCACTTTTTGAATTTATATACCTATAATTCTAAGTAGGTACTGGCACAGGGTATTAAAATTATAGTTATTTTTCTTTTGTCACGCTATAGAAGTATAACTTCTTACGTGTGCACTTAGGTACGCACATAATTCTTTTTTATAAATTATGCTTGAAATTCTTTATCTTTCAAATTTTATTGTATTACTAAATTCTCAATTTTATCTAACACAGAATCGATTTAGAAAAATCGATATTTTTTTTCCTTGATATCAGTGCTAGCAAAAGGGCAAATAAGATGTAGGGATGGGCAAGTAAAAAAAATATATCGATATTTATCGTATCGACGTTTTTAAAAACTATCGATAAATATCGAGTGAAAAATATCGATAAGTCGATATATCGCTATATTTTTTAAGATTTTCTTATTTATTATTTATTTTTCCAAACCATTCAAAATTCATGAAAAATAATAGACATGAAGAATAAAGTAATATTTATTTATATTCGACTCAATCAAATACAATTTATTCGACCCATTAATCATCTGATATGAACTTTAGGAGCACCCTCTGTTTAATGTGCTCCCCTATCAAACGGCTTCTATTGTTGGGTACTGTCAGATTCACGGCTGATGCAACTCTTTCTGTAGACACCGAAGAATCCTAATTAGACTTATGAATTTCACTTCTTTTTAAAGTGCTTTTTTTGTAAATTTATTGATTTGTAATTGTATAAAATTGTAAAATATTAATTAGTCAGCTGATTTGGACTCATTGAACATCGCAGCGTTAAATAAAATCGTGCAAACTGACATAACATCGCGCTAAATAGTTGAAGAATTGAACTAGTTGATCAACTTCTCATGATACTGAAGTTAGCCGACGTCTAATAGTATTTGAAACTTTTTCCAACAATAAATTATAAAAGAAAATATAAAAAATCGTACTTAGAGTTTTTAATTCCTACATGTGCAGTTTTTTGTCTTTTTTTGTATTTTTTTTTGATTTGTTGAAAAAAAAAGATACGAAAATTGTTAATTGTTTGTTAACTTCAGGGTCATATACGTCTCACACTGATGGTTTAATAGTATCAGTAATTAGTATTTTCTTAGTTAATTATTTTATATTTTATTAATTAGTTATTTATTGGCTTAAAGGTCTTGTTACTGGGCCATATACTCTTTATTAAAAACAATATTATCGTGCACATAACACTAAACACCAAACACCAAAAAATATATCGAAATTGACACGAATTCGATAGTCAAAAATAAATATCGAATATCGATATATCGGGAGTAAAAATATAGATGATATATATCGATATTTATTTGAAAAAATATCGATATTTTTATCTATCGATATTTTATGCCCATGCCTAATAAGATGTAAACCGGCTTTATGACCATAGAGTAACTTTGTATACTTGTTGTTTATGACTACAATGATCTGCGGTCTGCGGAACGAAATGTGAACTCTGACTTGACTAGAGTGAACCCTTATCGGTATAGCTACGTTGTCGTGTAGATATTGTATAGTTTTAAGTAGAAGTAGATTAAATCGAATCTGTAAGTTGCGGGGCTTAAAAATGCCTCTATTTGGTAAAAAGGATTTCGGGAGAAAATCAAAAAAAGATGGTCGGGAATCTGAGAAGCAGCCATCTATCGAAGACAAATACATAGTAAAGGATCTTTTAGGCACAGGTGCCTTTTCCGAGGTACGCTTAATAGAGAGCAAAGAAAATGGACAGATGTTCGCTTGCAAAATTATAGATAAAAAGGCTTTAAAAGGAAAGGAAGATTCTTTGGAGAATGAGATAAGAGTTTTGAAACGATTCAGTGAACAATCGAAAAGTGAAGGCGGGGAGAAAAAGATGTTTTCTCATCCTAATATAGTCCAGCTGTTGGAGACATACGAGGATAAAAATAAAGTATACCTTGTTATGGAGCTGGTAACTGGTGGCGAGTTGTTTGATAGAATTGTTGAAAAAGGGTCTTATACCGAAAAAGATGCATCTAATCTAATTAGACAGGTATTAGAAGCTGTTGATTATATGCATTCCCAAGGAGTGGTTCATAGAGATCTAAAACCTGAGAATCTACTTTATTATAGTGCAGATGAAGAAAGCAAAATAATGATTAGTGATTTTGGTCTCTCTAAAATAGAGGATTCAGGAATAATGGCTACAGCTTGTGGTACACCGGGTTATGTTGCACCAGAAGTGCTAGCACAAAAACCATATGGTAAAGCTGTTGATGTCTGGAGTATAGGAGTAATATCCTACATTTTACTTTGTGGATACCCTCCATTTTATGATGAAAATGATGCAAACTTATTTGCTCAGATTTTAAAGGGTGATTTTGAATTTGACTCTCCTTACTGGGATGACATTAGCGAATCTGCGAAGGATTTTATACGACATCTGATGTGTGTAGATGTTGAGAAAAGATACACCTGCAAGTAAGTATTCCTCTTATATCAGGTTTTATAAATTGGTAAAATAAAGAAACAGCCTATACATGTCCCACTGCTACACAAAGGCCTTCGTGTCAGAGGGTATTGGGGGATAATCCACGACACAACCCCACTGCGACTTGGCCACTTTCACATATTTTTAAAAATTTTTTGTTATTTTGAAAGTATGTAGATTTTCTTGCAATGTTTGAATTTCTTTACCACAGAGCTTGTCATTAATTAAGAGGGATAATACCTCTCCTCCCCCTTCCCCTTGTACCCCTCCTGCCCTTCAATTTGATGGATTTATATGGAAAGTTGTACCATCTTTAGTTTTATCTGCGCTCATGTACATTATATATTCTTAATAATTAAATTGTACAGTATTTAGAGTATGAAAACAGATAGAGGAAATCAAGTTCATATATTTGTGTCTATTAAATAAAAATATCTAGCTTTATAAAATTTTATATGAGGGAGCTAGTTTTATATATTTAATGTTACTTACAAGTGTTATGCCATGTCAAGACTGCAATGATACATGTAACACTTAAACCATTCTAAAAGAGGAAGCCTAATACTAACACTACTGGAACATAAGTTTCAGTAAATGAGATTAGTTAATAAATAAAGTTTATCCAATATTTAATAAATTCAGTACTCTCTAGAACTTAGTTTAAAAACAAATAAATTGTTTCTTGCTCACACTTGCTAACACTTATTTTAATTAAACTCTTGATACTTGATTATTAACAAATAATTAATTACAGGCAAGCCTTGGCACATCCTTGGATCTCGGGTAATGCTGCTAGTAATAAGAACATTCATGGTACAGTTTCTGAACAACTCAAGAAGAACTTTGCCAAATCACGTTGGAAACAGGCATATCATGCCACTACAGTCATCCGTCAAATGCAGAAAATGATCCTTAGTAGCAGCAGCTCAAGCCGTAATTCCAATGCGCAGCCCAAACAATAGCTAACTTAAAGATATGTTTGAAAGTAATGATGAGATTAATATTCTTTGCTTGGAACCAGCTGGGTAAAGTACTTAAAAGCCATATTTAATTCTTACACAACAAAAATTAGTCTCAATCATAGTGGCTTGCACCATTTGGAGCAATACTTTTAATTGGCAGATGTATTACATTAATTTGAAATAATTGTGGACATTGCAATACCATTTAATATGTGCAAATGTCAAACAAAAACATTTGCATATTTTAACACACATATATTTGCTTTTATATATGTATGCTGGTTTATATCAACAAAGTTTTTGCCACATAAAACTAGTCATATTTTATCTTTTGCTTAGAATTGAAAATATCAAATTAAATATTTAGTACATATATCTCAGATTCTATAAAACTGGAAAAAAATTAAGTTAAAATAATGTATCTCATCAAAAAATAATATTACTCGCATTTCTTAACTTGGAATCTCACATTGAAAAGTGACATCTCATAGACGAATTTGAGGGTAAGTTGTATCATGACACTGGCTTCAGTCATATAATAAATTGTATTTTTAATATAAATAACCCCATACCAATAATTTATAAATTGTTAGTATATTTCAAAAAAAATTGAAATGTTACTTTAACTTAATTTACTGCTTATTTTTTCTTCATTTTTATACATGACACTTAATGATCTGAATTTAAATTGATTAATGATCACAAATATTAACCAATATTTTAAGTTTATAAAAACTAATAAGAAGTTTGAGAACACAAAATGTAAAGATTAGAAATTAATAATATTTTGTTTATTAAATTGATTGAAAAACTATAAAACAAATCCTTCTATTTGCTTTTGAATAAATAAGTTAAAATAGGTTTCAAAAGTTATTGTTTATCTATAAAAATATTTGTTTTGTTTAAAAAAGTAAGAAAACACTGTAGGAGTGAAAACTAAAAAGGCTTGCATTGTTATTAGCATAGGTAAGTAACTAATGTCACTTCTTGTCTGTTAATTCTATATAAGGTGTATGCCATTATATTCATTCAGTATAATCTCTTTCAAATATATGGTTAAGAGTTTAAAACTTTATGCAAAACAAATCTATGCTATTTTTAACTTTACAATAACAAAGCATTATACAGTCAAACCTGGATAAGCGAGAGTTCAAGGGAGCACAATCTCATTCTCGCTTATAGAGGTTTCTCACTAACCCGAGTTTCTCGCTAATGCAGGTACATGGGTAGCATTTCTCTCTTATAGAGGTACGCAGCAATAACAAGTCACAGCAAGTACAAATGTAGTAAATACATATGTGATATGATAAAATTATGTGCATAATATGCACAACATATGTTAGATTTCGACATATAAGTACCTTATAAGGGTAGGTATCAAGATGCTTACGAAAACAAAACAAAAATTCTAATTGTAATTTTAATTTACTTAGAACTTATTTACACTTAAAAAAATCCGTCAATTTCGTTTGGGTTTCTGTTTTAGTATTTTGAATGTTTTTCTCTAGCTCATAAATTTTATCGAATATTGCTTGATCAACAACCGCCGCGTATTCAAAGTACTGATGGACCGTCTGCAACGCATTTAAAGCTAGCTTCATTGGAATGATCTTTATTTCTGTTTCCGGAATCTGTGCCTCGTCTTCACTGTCATTTCCAGAAATACAGGTGTTCACACAATTATTAACGATATCGTCGTCGGTTTGTTCTCCAGCGGTAGTTACGTCGTCGTCAATTTGAACGAAATCTTTGAAGCTCGGCATTAACATATTGGATTTGTGAGACACAAGCTTAGTCCATTCCTCGTTGCTAGGTCCAACTTCAACATCATTTTCCTCTGGCAGGTCTTGCTCATCTGTACTTTTCCAAAACCCAGCTTTCTTGAAACAGTTTTTGACAGTAACGTCACTGACTAAGTACCATGCTTTTCTAGCAAATTTCATAGCTAGAAGTACGTTAATGTCAGGGCTACTGTTTTCTTCCAGACTCGTAAGAATATGTTTAATGACTTCTCTCTATAAAAGCGTTTAAAAGTGTGAATGATGCCTTGATCTAATGGTTGAAGTTTACTAGTGGTGTTAGCAGGTAAAAACATTACTTTTACGTTTGCAAGTGTTGGTAAGTCCGTATGGGCAGCACAGTTGTCAATGAATAGCAGAATTTTTCGGTTTATCTTCATTTGTTTGTCAACTTTTTTCAACCAATCTTTAAATAATATCTTGGTCATCCAAGCCTTTGTATTATTGGCATAATCAACAGGTAGAGTCTTGACACCTTTAAAACATCTAGGTCGCTTTGATTTCCCGATGATGAGAAGTGGGAGTTTGTCCGTACCACTCATGTTTACACACTGGAGAAGTGTGAGGCGTTCCTTGCTTTGTTTTCCTCCATGGCATTTTTCGCCTTTAAACGTAAATGTTTTATCCGGAAAGCACTTGAAAAACAAAGCAGTTTTATCCGCGTTGTAAATATCGTCTGGTTCATACCCTTCTAAAAGATTTGGCAGATCTTTAGTCCAGTGGTTGCACACACCTTGGTCCACAGATTTACTTTCCCCAGCTGCTTTTTTGAAAGCTATATCATGCCGCCTTTTAAAAACCCTCTAACCAGCCGTTGCTAGCAGAAAAGTTCTGGATTCTCAGTTTTGTAGCAAACTCTTTTGATTTTTTCTTTCAACAAAGGTCCATCTATGGGAATGTTCTTATCGAGAGTTTGTTTTATCCATTCCAAAAGGCACTTTTCGATATTGGGAAATTCAGAAACTCTAGTCCTCTTAATATTTCCATGTCCATCAGAGCACTCAGACTTTATAGAGTCTTTTGATTTTACAATTTTATAATAGGTGGATTCTGGTAAATTAAACTCCCTCTGAATTTCATTTCGCGATTTTCCGGATTCAAATGCATTCACTATTGTAAGTTTATCACTTAATGACAGTACTTTAATTTTCCGTTTTGACATGATGCAGAACAGAACTTTCCTTCGCAATTGATTGACTATAGACTGAGTAAGTCCGACAAACAGTCGAAAAGAATGCGATAAAATAACAACGTTATTTAGTTCCACGAAATAGAATAGTTACAATATTGACGAGAAAACAATGCAAAAACAATGGTAGGAAGTTCCACGAAGGTTAAGAATGAGTCATAAAATAGCAGATGTTAAATTTGTAATTTGTTTTGTCATTTGTTACTGTATGTGCGTATCTTTTTTTTTTTTATTGTAACTATAGTTCCTCCTAAATAATATAAATAAATAAAGCTCGACTGTCGCTTATAGAGGTATAGAAAAGTAGCAGTCTCACGGAGGTCCTTGAGGGAGAAACGACTCTCTCTTACAGAGGTTTCTGTTTCTCGCTAATAGAGGTTTTGGGAGCTTAAAATGATGGGTCCTCGCTATTACTCTCACTTATAGACTTTTCTCACTTATCCAGTTCTCACTTACCCAGGTTTGACTGTATTATAATAATCTAAGAGAAATATAGTGTTAATGCTGATTCCTTCCTATCTTCAATCATATTTAAATAATATTTTAATAATTAACTAGAGAAAGAACAATGTGAAAAGTTCTCAAGCATATTATCTATGTATTTAAAAAAATTAATCATTAAAAATTCTATAATATAGGTATATATCACATTATACTTGTGGGCCTAACAAAAAATAATATTGTACATATATTTATTAAAAATGAAGATTTCTATTCCTTATATTCTTCAGTAAAAAATTCTGCCGTTGCTACTACATAATTTTTTTTTTAAAATTTGATTTGGTATTTTATACCAAAAAAATTAATAGATAAGGAAAAAGTACAAGTCTGCCTTTTTTCTAAAAAATTTAAAAAATTCTTACTTTGAATATCCCTTAAGTTAGTGTTAAATCATGGTGTGAAAAATATACTGTGCATATACTGCGTCTCAATGACAGTATCCTTTGTTTGAACTCACTATTTGGTCTATATTTTTGTGTAACTATTTTAAGGAACTAATTCAATATCGAAAATGAACAGAATATTCAACATTCCATTTTTATCTCAGAAATACCAAATAATATTCTACAAATTTACCATACTTTCCCAAAAGCGTAGTAATAATTGTGATAAAAACTTCTCCACATTCCATTTTTCAGTATTATAAGTCTAAAGTCCATGAATCCAATAGTTTTACAGCTGTTCAAAATAAAAAAAGTGATTTGAACTAATATTGTTTTCTGTTAAAAAAAAAAGCATATAGGATGGCAGCTGAACATTCCACTTTATTTTTGACCTAGTAACTTTAAATTTTTTCTATTCATCTTGTTACCATCAATAATATCATGGTCCTTGGCCTGCTATGTTAAAAAAAATAGAATGACGCAGTATACTTGATCTAAATGTACCGTAAAAATAATAATGCACAAAAGCAGAAGATAATAAAATATTTTACATGTTATCAAGAAAAAACAAAATTACAAAGAAACATTTCTTCACCAATGTGAAACAAAGGAATTGGTTTTGTTGTTTCTGTTTTTTATTATTTCTCATTCAATTTATCGTAAAAAATTATAAATTTCTTGCTATCTGTGCCTTTCCTTTTTTTTTAAGAAAGTTTAAGTGTATTCTCATATGTTTCATAGGCAGTTCAGATGACAATTTTTGAATTCCTTTTTTAGTCTTTTTTTTCTCCAAATGATTTTTCAATTTTTAGCCACCAAGATGTTTTATCATTCTGAGCAGACCGGAACAGAATTCATGAACCAAAAGCTATTTGTATTTACTTATAGATGAGATTATTTTTGGATTATAATTGGAGTTAATCCCACAATCCAAATTTGGGAAATATTTCCAATTTATCATTTCCATATTGCAAATAAAATATATCTCTATTATGGAATCTAAAATGAAAACTAATACATTATAAATTATGATAGCTATTGTTGGAATGTTATAAGCTAGGTAGGTTTTGTCTATAATCAATTTTATTGTTAAAATATACACAAATATTTAAATTTGACTTTTCTCTTAAGCTTTCTATAATAAAATATTATTTAAATAAAAAATGAGATCATGTTATATAATAAATAATAAACATGACAAAATCCATGAAAATAATTGTTATTTAGAATTATGTATTTTTGTTTTAGTTTTGCTTACAGTCATTAGTATTGGGATGTACTAATACCAACACATATTCACTTGTATTTAGGTTAAGGTTTATTAAGGCACATCTTCATTGTCTCAATAACTGTGCCATGAAAGTAATAGTTTACATTACCTTAATGCGTTAATTTTTTCTTTTAATAATAGGGTTATATTATAGTCACACCTTATGATAAACATTTATCAGTCAACCTATTAGCAATGTCTTACATTTCATTTTTGTATACCTGCTTATAGAGTCAGTCTTACATAGCAATTAGCAACCTGGCAAAGTAGTAGTCATTTACTATCTAAATGAGATTGATGAACCGAAAGTTGAAAAATTATCATTTTTACCTATTTTTATTCAAAATTAAAATTATAAATAGTTAAAAAGACAGTTCTGTGCTAAAGACGGCAGATAAAAATTGAAAAATTTGACATTATGAAATAAAATTTTTGCACATTCATTTTAGAGAGCGAAGGTTAATGTGAACAAATTATTCGCACAATAAAAACGTTTGTGAAAATATTCAGCTATTTATTAGAATTTCAGCAATGTAATGTTTGTATGTGCTTAGTCAATATTTTAAACTACAGGTGTGTTATAACTTAAATGAAGAGTTTGAAGATAAATTTTCCACAGTAAATTCTCAGTAACTTGTATGGCTTTTTTATTTTTAGTTCAATGTAATAATATTAATACTGCCTTACGACCCAGAATACTTAAATAATACAGGTGTTTAGTTGGACTGTATTCTAAATGTATGAATGTTATTATTTAAATTCAAACAAACTGAAATTTGTATATTGATAATATTTTTGGTGATAGGGCTAAGCTCAATGGAGGTGTGATACAGCAAAATTAATTTGTAAGGTAAATATTTCTAATACAATTGTGTTCCAGCTACTATGTTTATCTATGATAGTTTTGATGAGGGAAAGGAAACTTAAAACAAGGAAAAAATTGCATACCATTGAGCTTTATGGACAGCTTGTAAGCTAGTGGTAGATGACTTGTTACTGGTACTTATTTATGTTCATTTTAGCTCTCTCATATTTTTATCTAGACGCGCCTGATGGTTTACCGACGTGCCAAACCATATCATGATCAGTGATAAAATTTGATGTTTTAATTAAGTCTTGTACTATGGTACACATCACATGTATCTTTCTAATATTAATAGCAGTACTTTATGCAATGCTGAGCTACAGTTGAAGTTCCTTGTCAGTTAATTGAAATATGTACATTTTTAATTGTATGTTTAGTGTATGTACACAACATAGTAACTATTTTTCGAAGGTCATTTAGTATGTGTTCTGAACAGTAATTTTTAGTTGATAAATGAGCACAATAGTTTAAGGAAAATGTAGATCTTGGCAAGTAATATTATTTGATTAAATGAATCTTCATTTTTTTTGTCTATTTGGTTGTGAATTGGTTTAAATAATTATAACATCTTTAGTAACACGACGGGGACTATATACATGCTTAATGTTGACCGATGGTTTAAGATCTGATTGATACTGAAATAATAAATCTTGTGATTTAGATTTTATACTTCTTGTTCTAAACAATCAAAATTTATTAGTAGATATTAGATGTTAGCTCTATTTTCAATGTCATTGTAAATAAAATGCCAACTTGTTGAAACATTTGTTTTATTTTAATAATTTTTTAAGAAATTTATCTTCTAAACTGCTAAGTAAGACTAATAATATTTGTTTACCTATTATTAGAAATTTTGTTTAATATTTCCCAACAGATTATTATATTATTAAAAATGAAAAAAAAAACTTATCTTCACTAAAACTAAAACCTTCCCTAAATTAAACCTCTGTTAATTATTGAGAAAATACTTAAAATGCCTAGTTAGTACATATTCTTATTTTATAAGACGGGTTGATAAAGCAAAACTTGGAAAATGAAAACGTAATTAAAAATTCTCTAAATGAGTTCTGCTTTCATTATAGGTATATTATGATTAGTGTTATAGCATGTAATTCTAAGTTTAGTCCAATCCATACGAGTATTCAATGATGCTTATCTTTTTATTAGTAATAAACAGGAAAATGATGTATAAATATCTGACTATGACAAACATGTTGATTATATGGAATTCGTGTCATTCATTTATCAACATCATCTACGCTCAATCTTGCATTTTAAAGGTATGTTAACTTTAACTGTTTTTACACATACATTTCCGAACAGAAATGTCAAAAAAGGTAAGCAAGAATTATAAAAAATCATTTATTAAGAATAAGACATTTCGAATATGTACAATAATGACAGATATTTATAATTGATAGCACTGGCAACGATTTACTCGCCGTATTCCTCGCTAATACATTGTACCAAGCGATCGGATTTGGCCAAACGCTTGAGACCTTCAACTAGACTGGTAGAGCTACGCAACAGTCTGCTCTGTTGGATGAACGGGCAGGTCGATCTGGGTAAGTACCACGACACCACAGAAGGTCGGCGTGAAGTGGTAGTATTATACTTTTGTCTTTTCTCTGGCGAGTGAGGTCTCTGTGGCCCACTTTATTATAAGTTCGCAACGTATTTGCAACCCTACGGGTGATGCAAATGTGTTGCGGCGCAATGGGCGGCCGGTTATCACTTAACATAAGGTGAACCGCCAGCTTCTTTGCCACCTCCAAGAGAAAGTTTAGGTAAATCGGAGTGTTCTTGGGCTCTACAGCAACACGCACGACAGGCGATACACGGAATTTTATGACCTTCATGTTATGCGTGGTCTTGAGGGTCTGATTGTTCCGGTTTCATCAAGAACGGGTCATCAATTATCAACCAGACTGCGATGTTACCGCAAGGCACATCCTTGAGGGCATCCACGTAATGTCCCATCATGTATATTGCACGCTGTATGGTCTTTTTAAACAGATCCTATTTGTTAACAGTCTGGTAGAGTGAATTATGCGGCCCTTTTGAATGTGATATTTTGTTGTCAAACAAGCAAGAATTGATATTAAAAGACATAGACGCTTCTCGTGGATATTACAACACCTGAGGACTTGTAGATGCGTTGACATTTTTTTTTAAATTGAGCCCCGGTTACCTCACTGACCAGACGAAGCGCAAACATATAATACTTTCACTTCACACTGGTCTTCTGTGAGGCCGTGGTTCTTCCCCGAACGAGAGTGCCCATTCGCGGTCCCGACCCTAGTCCCAGGTCGGGATATCTTGCTCACATACATCGTGTTGCTTCAGGGTCATAATTCTTGATACCACATTTCATCTACAATGGTAGATCACATACTATGGTATTTCCATATTTGAACGGATACGATGCATACTGATGAACGCAACCTCAGAGTGAGAGACATACCATGTCTTAAAACTGGCCTACCTAAAATTCTCTCCTGAAAACGTTGCTAGACTAATAGTCTTGCCATTAAAGAAGTTTTATCCCCATTGTAAGTTCATAAGCTTGACAAGATCATTAAAATATGTAGAAAAAGTGCGAAAAGATTGTCGCCGCTGTGGGAATCGAACCCAAGTCTTCGGCATTCGCGGCCTGACGCTCTAGCCACTGAGCTAAACGGCTGATTACCACACCGACGAAAATCTTAACGCACCACATTGTTTTCTTAGCATTTGAAGCAATGCTTGGCGCCATCTATTGTTATTTCCAGCATACAAACAACTTCGAATATCGTTTTTACAACGATAATTCGATTCTAAAATATGTAAAAAAAAATTTCTACATATTTTAATGTTCAATCTTAAGTGCAAAGATTAGCACTATAAACAATTTAAATTTCTAAAAAAAGCAATGGCGACATCTCTCGTTCGAATTATCGTTGTAAAAACGATATTCGAAGTTGTTTGTATGCTGGAAAGGATATAACAATAGATGGCGCCAAGCACTGCTTCAAATGCTATGAAAACAATGTGGAAGAATGCGTTAAGATTTTCGTCGGTGTGGTAATCAGCCGTTTAGCTCAGTGGCTAGAGCGTTAGGCCGCGAATGCCGAAGACGTGGGTTCGATTCCCACAGCGGCGACAATCTTTTCGCACTTTTTCTACATATTTTAATGTTCAATCTTAAGTGCAAAGATTAGCACTATAAACAATTTAAATTTGACAAGATCAATTCAATACCAGGTGTGGTGAAGACAATGATTAACTGATGGACTTAGGTTGCAACTTAAAATAAACGATAGAAAATCAAACAGGCGTTTTTGAGATTATCGATATATTAATCTATACAATTAAATAATATCCAACACGATGGGAATGTTTATTGGATCTCCTCGCCCAGGAGAGAAAGTTGTTTTAAAAATTGAGAAGCATTGGGCAACGTCGTGGCACCATAGATGATTTTTCTCGACACACCGCTTGTTGCTTGTTGCTGAAAAAAAGTAATTGTGAGAAAACAAGAACTTTGAACCTTGAGAAATGGATATGAGGAAGCGGAAATCAAAACTAAAGTGTGGGCTATAATAAATTTTGTACAGTACCGACACATTTACTTAGAACTGTTTAAATGTAATGTAGTAATTGCACCTACCACGATTTCTTACCACGCCCCGGGTTGACTGGGAGAGAATGCCAAAAGGCATTAAGTTCACCCTTTGTAATCCTTTTTATTGAAAGGTTGCAATAAAGTATAAATAAAAAAAAAACTGTAAACTTTGTTTAACTGTGTTTAACGTCCTACACGTTGCAAGTGTTCACTGTTGCACGAATGGGCAGAATGGGCCCGTCCGGGTAAGTACCACGACCTCACAGAAGACCGGCGTTAAGTACAAGTGTTACACTTCTGCGTTTCGTTTGGTGAGTGAGGTGGCCGGTGAGTTAAAAAAAATTACGGTTTGTACTCCGGGAGTGCAGATAGAAATGAAAACTTATTTTGGCGCGTTAGAAATTTTTTAGATAAATAAAATAATATAAATAAACAATTTTGATTCAAAGTTATTTAAATATCTCGTGAACACCGCATCAATTGTACTTTTATATCTCGTCGTGCTAATATTGCGTTGATTGGACATAGTAAAATCGAAATTCTCTATTCGAAAAATTCAATTGAGCACACACTATAGCTGCACTATGTCTTGTAACGGTGTCTGTCGCGACTCGGGTGATTTTATCTCATCTAAAAATGTGCGTACCGCGCTAAAAGCATTTGGGTTTCGCATCTGGGTGTTTGTTCACGTGATATTTATGTTTGTAGAACGTCCCCACATCACAGGATAATGTAAATGAAACTAATTTTACGGATTTATCGCGTTTATTTTTAATTTTAATTCCCGACGTTCGGGACAGTCTGTCCCGTGACCATGAACGCTGTAAAGGGTTCGAAACGTCGGGAATTAAAATTAAAAATAAACGCGATAAATCCGTAAAATCAGTTTCATTTATAATGTGTAATCGCGTAAATACAAAAAAAAAACAGGATAATGTGTATATATATATATATATATATATATATATATATATATGCACATTATCCTGCAGTGAAAACGTCTTTTAAAAAAAAAAAAAGACGTTTTCACTTGAAAAACCGCCGGTACGGCGCGGAATACGGGGCGAAAGTCACCTTGGCGAAGTCGAGCAGGTTGTGGTACTCGATGTAGCTGCCGCCGCCCACCACGAACACCACCGCGTCGGCGGGCGGCGGGTGGCGGGCCGCGCGCGACCTCGCCGCGGCGTCGGTGCGCGCCGCGCGCGGGTCCAGCCACAAGAGCTCGGCGCCCTCCACGCCGCACAGCGCCGCCTCCACCGTGCGGCTCACCGGCAGCTTCTGCGGGCGCCGACGCAACGTTTATTTATTCGGGAATACAACAGTAATATATACTTTATTGTAAACCAAGAGAGATACAGGATTTTTAACAGGGCTTGAATAACCGATAAATATAGGTAAAAACGGTGAGGGGATGACGTCGCACCTTTATTATTGTCATAGCTTAAAATAACACCACAGTTTTTTTCTGATGATGATTGGCTTCTTTATCTATAAATTACGGTACCATTATTTTTTACGAACCTATATTATAAAACAAAGGTTACAATTGCAAAGTACCTACAACAATTAATAATCTAGAATTGTGAGACCGACGGTAGTTTTGCGCACGTTTTCTTTCGAAGTTGACACTTATTTTAGTTATACGGGAGGCTTTTCTAAGTGTATCCATTTTTTTATTAAATTCTAGACATAAATAATGTTATATTAAAAAATTATAAATATTTAAAATCACTACCCTACTACTAGAAAGTCTAATGCCCAGTTTCCGAAAGGCCAATCAAAGCAGCAATCACATAACACTATGTCAAAAATGATCAGCTGTTAATCTCTTGTTAAACTGCCTTGAGTTTCTGGAAGGATTATTCAAGAAAAATTAGCCAATCACTGTATAACCAATGATAATGAATGAAATGAATGATTTACTTCAACTAACTCTTTCTATTGTATAGCCGTCCCTTTTTAAACAAAACTTAAATTAACGTCACTATCCAGTCCTGTTACCGTGTGATTGCCAACGTAAAAATCCGAGCTATAAAAAAATTTAATTTATATAAATACATGCAAAATGTCAAAAAAAATAATTAACAGAACGTGAAAAATATGAACTTTTATCGATAATAAACAAGTAAGTATTTTAAAAAGAAAGAATCCATATTATTTATTAACTTTTGGATTGCATTTTGTATTTTTTCTAATCACATGATATGTTCGCATAATAATAAATAATAAATATGCAATAGAACGCATGAATGTCCTAACAACGTATTAGGGAATTATGTTTATTTTTAATAAAAACTAAGATTTTTGATAGATAACATTTTTAACCAACGATTGATCGTCCAAATTGACAGATTACTTAATAAAACTTTTGACAGCTCTTTGACCATCGAAAAACGCTTTCAGAAACTCGATTTTCTGTTGATTGTCCGTTTATCAGTGACTAATTGCAAATCAAAATCAATGTTATTTAAGACGTTCTAGCAACTCAGATCATGTTAAACAACGACTGACAAGAGATTTATCGTAAATTAAAATTGATTGCGCTTTCGGAAACTGGGTGTAAATAGAATAGATTTGTTGTAGAATATATTAAGCAAAGGGGGTCTCACGTGTTTCTTGACGACTAAATTCTTGACACCCTCCATAACAAATGATGACCCCTGCGAAACAAGCTTCGAGAACATAGAAACAGTTTTTGTGCCACCACCTTCGTATTGACTCGACATCTTTGTGAAACCTCTGTAAATAAAAAATGAGTAATTAATAACAAACGCATGTAATAAACCAATCCAAATATAGTGAAGAAAAGTAAGAGAGTTCATTCTATGAAATAAACAAGCTTTTTGTTGGACAACTAATTTTTATTTATACAATTGTCTGTGGTAGGGCCACACGCAGTCTTTACTTCTGCTCGAATGATCAGGTCCGTACAGATATAAGTACCACGACAACACATAAAACCGGCGTGAAGTGAAAGTGTTATACTTCTGCGTTTCGTCTGGTGAGTGAGGTAGCCGGGCCCACATTGTCAAAAGGTGGCAACGCATCTGCTATCCTACGGGTGTTGCCAATGTCAATGGGCGGCGTTTATCACTTTCTTAGTGAACTGACAGCTCGCTTGTCACCTTCTCACATAAAAAAATACAATAAAAAATTTCGAGTCTTGAACTAAACAAAGCTTGTAATATTGGTACTACGTGACCGATAAACCCTCTAAATCTTTTATTTTAGAAGAAAAAAAATTGTAGACATGTTAAAGTAAAGCTAGGTATGGCCTTGAATGTCCCATTAGTGTTGTACTATTACACTGTTTGTACTATTGCATATAATTGAACAAAGGTTGCTAGAATATATTGAATTAATAGCGAGCGCCCCACGAGCTATCCCGGCTCGTAGTCATATAATAAACAAAACATTTTTCTAACAGTGGACATCGAATCCTTACGGCACCAGAGGCAGCTTTACTATCCAATACTCCATTTTTTTTTGGCTGGATGAGCTACTGTTGGCCTTAGGGGCCTTCACAGATCCGACGGGCTTGAGGTGGCCTGGCGCACGGGGCGCCTAGCCTGAACCTCGGCGTATTATTATTACGCGTTATGGTGACTAAGCTCGAGGGCTCTTGATGGAGCCTCGGCTCGGGCCGTCACGCTATTATTATCACCGGTTTGGGAGGCCGCCAAGCTCTTAGGGCGCTTTGGCGGGCGCTCCATGGAGTGATTAGGCCTCAAGGGTCCCCGAGAGAGGACCTCGGCTTGGGCTGTTGCTCAACACGCGTTTAGCATTCCGATTCGAAGGTGCCCGAGAGGGCCGGACCTCGGCTCGATCGGTAGCTATTATCTGGTTGGGGCAATACTCCAATCAGGTCGTTTTGTACGGACAAAAATTCAAGCCTCATGACTTGCTTTTACACGGGTGATCTTCGATAAATCTAGGAGTAAGATTTTACGAAATTAAACTAGCATTGCTCGTTAGCACTAAAAATAAAATAAATCGTTATTTATTTTATTTTTAGTGCTAGTCTTTGCCAGTCCAAACGATGCTTAAATTGTGATTTTTTGCAGATAAATGGACAAAAAACTTTCGGCGCTTCGGGGTTCGAATCCGTGTCTTCCTGGTAACGTTAAACATTCATTTATCTACAATACTTCACATTTTAAGTTTTTTTTTAAGTGAGAAGGTGGCAAGGGAGTTGGCGGTTCACTTGATATTAAGCGATAACTGCCGCCCATGGACATTTGCAACACCCGTGGTGTTGCAGATGCGTTGCCACCATTTAATAGAGTGGGCCTCGGTTACCTCACTCACCAGACGAAACGCAGAAGTGTAACACTTCCAGTTTACGGCAGTCTACTGTAAAGCCGTGGTACTTAATGGACGTGCCCATTCGTGCAACAGAGAAGACTGTTGCGTGGCCCTACCACTGTGTTTTTATTTCATCTTGAGTTTAGAGACTACCACTAACAATAAAAATAACTATAAATTTTTAAGAGCTAAATCTATTTTTTTTTCTAATTCTCTGATTAATAATATTCATTGTCAAATTTTAAGTATGCACACCATATGGCACTAAGCACTGCTAGAAATGCAATAAAAATTGGAGATGTGAAGACTGACAGTTGTCAAGATTTTCGCGCTGTGCGATCATCGACCGCTTTATTTACTGGAAGATGCTTTTTAGGGTTCCGCACCAAAATGGTAAAAGCAAGTAATAGGGTCCCGCCCTATTACTAAGACTCCGCTGACTGACTGTCTGTCTGTCCATCTGTCACCAGGCTGTATGTCATGAACGGTGATAGTTAGACAGTTGAAATTTTCACTGATAATGTACCTATTTAATAGATAATGGCACGGAATCATACATGCGAGAGCCTGCGCCGCAATTGTTAGCATCTCGCAGCTCCGAAAAAATTGTCACTAATTGCCACAAAACTAACATTGTAATTACTTACTTCCACCGCTTCATATAGGCCATAGGTTGGATGTCGCAATTCGCGGCAAGTAAGGCCGCCTCGAACTTTTTGTACTCGTCATCTGTTATCTGTGGCGTGCACAGATAATATATGATGAACAGCCGCATCTTGTCCTCGGGTGTGCCGGCGCTAGCGTCCGCTATCAAGTCCATCACAACCTTGTTCTCTATGCCGCTGCTCTTGCTCATTATCTTCTCTTCTAGCTCGAAGAACGAGTCGAGTCGGCGCGACTTTATTGCGTTAAGGATCGCTATAAAACAATAAACGCAGCATAATTGCAAATTAATTTTTTTTTATAATTTTTTATAATAGAAAACAATGTCTTGAAAATAGGTGTCTGGCCACTGTGACATGAATCAGAAATTAACGAGGAAAGTTTGTATTGTTTTTAAAATGATTGCATTTGCTCCAAAGTATTTAGAAATCGCAATCGGCACACATAAAACTTTCTAATGCAAGAAATTGATATTAATAAAATGTGATCAATTTAATAGATATAACTGTAATATTATTTCTTTTCGAATATCTTGTAATAATCTTAATAACAGCTTGTAATAATGATGATATTGAAATGAAATGTTATTTTTGATATTCGAATATTTTCCAATTATAATACAGAAATGTTTGATTTCATAGTGGATAGAGCCCAATTTTGCTTTTGTCCTTTTAGTTGCAGTCAAGTATATCATCGGTCTTTATAATAAAGTCAAAAAGGCCGAAATGATGATGATGATGGAATCATATAAAAACATGCCCGCATAATATAAGCAATAAAATAAACATATATTTAGTTTATAAATAATCTTTTAACATTCTATTTGTAATATCTGTGCGCCTACGTCATTTTCTCTGCACCACCCTAAGGTTCACTGGTAGTCATGCCATTGTAAAGTTTAATTAAATAAATAATTATATCACTATATATGTATTTTTGTATGAAGGATTACTACGGTATCTAAAAGACACGATAGTTCCAACCATGATGGTAATGTTATGTAAATAATCAACTGTGAATCCGTGGGAAAAAACGTCCAAAGGACTCCTTTTTCCCGTGGATTCGTAGGTGATTGGCGATGCGGCTTACCAGTGGCGATCGTTGTGTGCATGTCGATGAGCCGCTTCTTCTCCATCAGCTGTGGAAGGGAGTTAACTGCACTTGTGAGCCTCTGGGTGTTGTCGCTCACCAGGCTTAGAGCCAGGTCGCTTTCGGCGTCCAGACCCATGGAGCTTTTCAATTTCTTCACCTCCGCCTCTGAGCTCCTGAAAATGCACAGCATATGCACGACATATGAAAAGCAAGCGCAGCACAGAGAGATTTTTTGCCCAAATTTACACAGGTGATTCAGACTCGGTAGTATAATCGTTTATTGAAATAAAAAAAAAATCCCAAAAATATGCCATTATATTCCCTAGATGTTTTCTAGGGAATATAACAACGTGTTGACAATGCGGTAGTCATTCATAAATACCTGAATTTTACTGTGCACGAACTTGTGTGCATGCTAGTTATGAATGATCGCGCGTTAAATAAATGAGTTGCGTATAAATCACGTTCTTTTTGAGATAAGTTCAAATTAATGTAATTGATTACTTACGAGTGATTTTAAATATTTATCATTTTTTATACAACATTATTTATGTCTAGAATCTAATTAAAAAAAAGGATACACTTATAAAAGCCACCCTGTATATCAATAACACATGCAAACAAACAGCCCGGCCTCACAATGTACGATTTATCTTCATACAACGTGTTACAAAATATCCCGTAAAAATATAATTAATTATCACAGGCAAAAAATTTGTCAACCCTAGTGAGCTGTCATATCAGGGAACCAGATTATTTAACAGAAAGGCCTACGTACGAATTACAAGCGAATTAGGTAGAAATGTAAATAGTACATTCTGCGTAGTTTACTGTTTAATTTTACTTAAATAGGGTTTGCACATCAGTGAAAATAATAATACCTTTTTTTTTTGGTGTATGTCACAGCGTTACTACGGTTCTTAAATATTGTTAATGAACTCGATATAAGGCCCCATTTAACGTTTTGTAACAACCTGTATACGTATATAATTCTATGTTATGTGTGTCACGGAACTCCTCCTTTGGGCTGGACCAATTTTAATGCAAATTTTTTCTGTGTCTTCAGTGGTTTCGAGAATGGTTTAGATTCACAAAATTTTTTTTTAAGTAACATTTAAGTCATGTGTATAGAACAACATCTGCCTGGTCCGCTGTTTATTTTATACATAATTATTTATCAATTGCAACTATTCCCTTAAAAATAATAAATCAAATGATGTAACTATGGTACAAATTTTATCATATTCGGTTTTGTTCTATGACGACGCTCAGACTCTTCATTACTGCAAATTAATGACTAAAAATGTGATCGAAATATTGGTAAGAAAAGTTTTTATCAATTATTGTTACACGCTTTTTTAAAATTGAAGAAAATGGCTTTAAGAAAAAAAAAGTACCACACACCTGTATTTATCTAAATCCTCCTGTATAGCTTCAGCTACTGTTGGAAATGGGCTACCTTTATGTTCAGACCATAATGGATCTCTGGAGTCAAGATCACATATTCGCGTTTTAGACTTCTGCACTGGTATAGCAGTAGCTGTAGGTTCTGGTACAACTGCTCTGAGTAGAGTATACAAACTTCTTAGTTAAATGTATAAAGGTTAAAATAAATTAAAAGCACACTTCAATGCACATAAATATGTAAGATATGTAAATAGAGAATAAAGTTATCATTTAACCTGTTCAAAGATAAGTCTAAGACATCATGTGCCAGAGCTTGGTAGGTCCATGTATGATGCAAAGGTGTTGCCATATCTATATTTCTGTCTAATAAAATTAGCATTGGTCTTGTAAAACTGAAAGAGCCGCTTTGTCCGGTGTTGCCATGGAAAAGATTATTTCGGGCATCCCATAAATTTTCTCTCAGCTTTTTATCTAACTTTTTCGCAACCATCTCTGCAGCATTACCTTTGCTACATCGTATTATGGGCACATTTCCTTAAAAATAAAAAATGAATGTTTCTTATAAGCTATATTTTGAGTCAAATATGTCTGGTATTAATGAGATTTAATATCACATAAGAAAGATAAAATTTAAGTCTTACCAAGAGTAACAAATACTGAAAATAAACTTTCAACAATATCATCCATGATAGCTTCCATTTCTGTATCTTTGGTGTCTCCTTTATTTATGGCTGAAAGAGTAAACATGTAATGTATTTTAATTAAAGATTTTATAACAACTTTCACAAAATTTTCAGTTCATAATTTCATATAAATTATCAGTTCCTATTTTACTATCATAAGTAATTTATATCAAATGTTATTTTGATATTTTTAGGGTATTCTCAATACTTTCTTTATAAGTAATTCTTTTCATTTTATTTGCTTTTTTTTTACTTCATAATTATTTTATTCAGTATTGTTTATCCATTGATTAAAAATATTTGTATATGAATAACACACATGCCCCTGTCGTTAACAATTACCGCATTTCGTGACTTTTGGTTTAAAAAATAGATTATTAAGTTAATAAAAAAAAATAATGGTACAGTTTTTATGAGTAATTATAAATTAAGTTCACACTTAAACTAAAAAGTATTTTTTTTATAACTACATAAACATATGTGTTCATAGACAAATTAAATATATCATGTCTATAAACTAATTTAAATAAGAATACCACCTTAATAGGCCAAGAACTTTTCACAGGTTTAATTTTAGAAAAATATGAATAACTCACCATAATATGACAAAGCATCAGACTGTTGGTGTTTCATTATAAACAAGTCATCTTCTAAACATATAAAATTCAGATACTGGTCGAAAATTTTGTGTATTGATAATGCTGCATTAGATTGGATTGCTGAAGCAGCAAGATCTTCTAGTTTCTGCCTTGTTATTGGCGAAATAAAATTCAGATGGTATTGGTCATATATACCATTGTCCAAATCTTGACAAATGCGACCAAGATTTTCTTCAGATGGTGAACAGAAGTATACTGCTGGCACTTCAGGTATGGGATCTCTATCAGAATGAAGCTGCCTGTAATTATTTATACAAAAAATGTAGTTATTTAATCTAAGCAATAATAAATGGCCTCTACAAATTATGTGTAATAATGGCAAAATTCAAAATGGATGCTGTTATGATGATAGCAGCAAAAGAATATACCTTACCTCTTTATAAAATAATGATATTTGCACTTCACTTTAAAGTATACGACATATACAGCTTGCTACAGATTATTAAATACTAATGTAATCTTGTTAAATTTTAAATGGCACAAACTTACACATGCAGAGTAACGCCTAATTCCCTCAGTTCTTTCACAGAAATTAAAGGGGATATGATATCTTGACCAACTCTATCATAAATTAGAACTTTCCAAGTAGGTTCCGTAGCGACAGCTTTCGTTAATGGTTGGTTCAAATTTAGCATCTGCTTCAAGGCATCTGAGACATAAAATATCGTGTAAGTTTTGAAACCAAAACACATCAAGAAATCAAAAAAAATGCTTACTTAGTTGGCGTTCACGTAAAGTTGTCATTTTTTTTAATTGCCATAAATTTCGATAAACAAAGTTAGTAAATGTTGAGGACTATCGCTTATAAATTAATTAATAATTAGTAACATTCATTATTTTAGTTTTACACTAGTAACTTGAAACGTCACTTTGACATATTCTTGAAACATTGATCAAGAAAAGACACGTCGGCTTTTGTGCGTTTTCTTGAATTCCAGCCTTTTGAGCAAATTAGACGGTATTATCATGACGTCATTAGACTCTAAATATAAAAATATTCGTTTCTTCCAATTTATTTTAAATCAAAGGTCACAAATAAAAAGCTTTATTATATTTTTTAAAGATTAAATTTCAGTTTTATTGTTATGTAAGAAAATATAATAAATGAAATAAAAAATTATATATATTATACATTTACTTATGTTCATGTATGTATATTATAGTTTATTTTGTTATTATTAAGTAAGTTTATAAAGCACACCACCTCGCACTATTCATAAGTTAAATTTTCCTTGTCCTAAGGTTGTCTGGAAGAGATCGCTCTTTAGCGATAAGACCGCCTTATTGTACCTAGCTTTTAAGATTTATTTTATATCAAATGTATAAAACTTTTTGTGGTGTACCATAAAGTATATGTAATAATAATAAAATATTTATAAGTGTAGATGTAGTACGCTGTTAATCTTGCGGCTTTCATACTAATGGATTCAGTCAGTGTCGCATTTAGAGATCTGTAGGCCCCAGGGCAACAAAGGAGTGGAGGCCCGTTGGCCCCAAATTATTTTCCAAAAAAATGAACAATTTTTTTGGAAAATAATTTGCGTCAAGGCTAATAGTTTTCAATTGCGAATTTGCCAATAAATAATTTATTGTGAAACCAAGTCCCTATAGATTCTTTAATTATTTAACGAGCTAATAAATATAAGCGGACACAAGAATTATCTAAAATTTAATTTTAGCGTTAACGAACGGAACCTTAAGAGTTTTTATTCGCCGAAATAGTTGTTAACTAGTCTGAATTTGAATTTTTTTCCGAAATCTCTATTGTGGGGGCTCCTCTTTTGTGGAGGCCCCAGGGCCGTAGCCCTAGTTGCCCTCCGCTAAATCCGGCCCTGGATTCCGTTCCACTGAAACTCCGCAATCCTTGTAGTTTTGTGCGCATGTGGTGCTAGAATTAGTTCTCCAGCGGATCGTAGAACTCGCTCTGGACGGTTATGGCCAAAAAACTTAAAGTATTTCTGTGTAGGGTAGGGTCAATAATACACAGAACGGAAGAGAGACAGAGTGTGCAGATTCCGGCGAAAACGAACGGGTAACTACTAGAGCTTTGAACGAAATGCGGAGTCATGATCATATTTACGTAAATAAAATATGAATCTAATAGATAATTTTGAATGCGCTGTTTTAGAAATGACTTTAATCCAGCTAAATATTATTTCATTGTTATATGTTTTTAAAGGCACAACTGGGCAGGCCTGGAAGCAATAAACTCTTCAAAGGCGTTTTGTACTGTCTTTCGGGAATTGAACGATTTTCCCGCAAAAAAGTTTTCCTAGTTTAGGAAATAATAATAGTCGGTAGGTGCAAGGTCTGGTAAGTATGGCGAAAGGAAGTTGTCGTGAAGGAGCATCGGGGATCGATTGAACAAAGTTAGTTGCAGAAGTGCGAGCTTCTCCATCATTCATTATCAGCTGGTCACAGTACACATCTGCGGTAATGCTCATGCCATTTTGTAAAAAGCTATGATGATTCACTTTAATTCATCATTGTTGACCAAATTGTCTGGACGAACACGAGATTCATTTTTCAAGACAAAATTTTCAGAACTAATAATGGGTTGTGTGTTTGTTTGTAAAGCTCTCTGTAAACGTTGTTGATGGTACATGCCGTTTGTGCTGCATTGATGCCACGACGGAACTCGTATTCCATAACTACACGAATTTTTAAGTATCCATTATGATGAAAAATGTTCAAACGTAATGAACATACAAAGCTGAACCAAAGTCTTCGGCATTCGCGTCCTGTCGCTTTAGCCACTAAGCTAAACGGCTGATTGTCATACCCAAGAAAATCTTAACGACTTTTATCTACATTGTTTTTTAGCATTTGAAGCAATGCTTGGCGCATACATTCTTATATCCTTTCCAGCATACAAACAAATTAATTTTTTTGTGGACAAAATCAATTTTTTCAGTATTTCCATTTAAGTGTTGTATGAAAATGGTATTTGCTTTTTTTAATTTTAATTTATTAAAGTATCAAAGTTGCTACTGAATATTTCCTTGAGTCCGTATTTGTCTAAAGCAAATTTTATCTTATTGATTTGCCGTTTGTTTTTACAAGACATACTTATTCTTTTGCTACATATTTCTTGGATTACTTTCCTTATAATTTTCCTCGATAACTTCTTTTAGTCTCGCTTTTTCATATCAGCCTAGCTCTGTTCGGTGATTTATGATTTATGGCATCGCTTTCTTTCTAATCAAACAAATAAACTTTTTCACAGCTCAAAAAATTACTGTGGCTGCAGCTTTTTGGCTGTTTCTGACATCTAAAAATTTTAGGCACCTTTTCTGAGCCATGGCCTATAAACAAAACTCTTGAAAGTAAAGACTTAGGCTCAATACGTTGTCCAATCTATACAATATACAAGTCGTTGTCCAATCTATACAAATTATATATGAATGTATGATGAGAGCGATTCAACTACATTCCGCTGAATTTTCGATTTAAATTTTAAAATAGAAAGAAACATGTAATTCTCTATGTGTTTAATGCAAACACTGTGAACAAAAATAAAGATGGAAAATAGTTTTTACTCTTTCGCTAACGAACCGCGAAAACAAGTAAATGCAATCAAAGCTTTTCTGTAACTTAACAAGAGGTTAGAGCATTCTGTCTCTTAACTGTATGAATTTATTTGCTAGTTATTATTTTAGGTCTCAATTTGCAATATACTTCTGTTCAAAGATTGGTAACAAGTTTGACATTAAAACTGTTGAAAACACGAGCCAGAAATTATGAATATGCTTATGTATATCACATTTATGGTCATGTATACAGTCATGGTATACAGGTCTTATTGACACATGTGACAATAAGGTTAAAGTTGCTTAAAATTGTAAATGGGATCTGCACTTTATAATAAAGCTTCTTAATTTAATTTAGTACCGTACTTAATTTTTCACTGTTGAAACCTGTCTTTCGATTATCAAGTCCTTCTTACTTTTAGAATCTAGGTAAAATTTTGAAGATTTTAAAATAAGTTCAAACGTTATCAAGGCGTTTTTACTCAGCTGAGCAAGAGCGAATTAATTTACGGCTGATAACTATCAGTTGGGTCAATGAATAGTCCGTTATTAATTAAAAAAAGAATAATTAAAAGTTTGCATTGAATTCGCAGGTGGTAAAAGAATTACCTTAGAAATTATCTGTACATTCTTGTCTTTAAGTTGTCCCGATTTCCAGTCGATAAATTTTCTAATCATACGGAAAGAAGGATCTCGACAAATTCTACTTGTATCCTTTTATTACATTATAAACTATGAAGCGAATTGATTTATTCATATTAACTGTGGCAGGGTACATTTCGATGTTGCACGAATGGGCAGGTCCACCCGTCAAAGTACCACGACTTCACAAGAGACCGGCGTGAAGTGGAAGATTTATACTTCTGCGTTTCGTCTGGTGAGTGAGGTAGCCGGGGCTACTTAAATAAAAGTTGGCAACGTATCAGCAACCCTATGGGTGTTGCAAATGTTCCTGGGCGGCGGTTAACACTTAACCTCAGGTGAACCGCCAGCTCGCTTGCCATCTTCAGATGCTCTACGGAGTATAATATTCTGTTAATGGGAGACCAAATATTTGGTCCAATATTTTTAGCACATGTAAATGTTTTTCTTGTTTAGTGGTACTATATACGCAATGTTAATAATATGTTATAACCGTTACTATTATTTTTATTAACTAGATTGCATTTTGTCGGCTTAACTGCAGCCAAGAATTACAAGGTCAAATTTTTTGCAATTTTTTTTAAAGAATCAACATCCGATTAAGGTTCACGTTGGTAGTTGTAACAATTATGTTTAAAATAAAATATTACGTAGGTTTCACTCTTCTCGCGTACAGAACTTTTTGTTCTGTCATGGCTGCGCTGCTAATAAAGTGTAAATGAGTTACGTTTTCAACCACATTTGTCTGTCAGTGCACCAGAGTTCAACAGGAGAAAGCCGTTTGTAGAGGCCGGTAGGCGATAAAGTAGGGTGGTGGCTGCGGCTGGCACCTGGTTCTTTGCGCAGTGCGCGCGCGATGGTGAAAGGTGCTATATCGATTCTCCGCGGCTCTAGCGGCGCGCGATTCGTGATGACCACATACGCGCGATTTATCCTTTTCTGTGCCATATTCGTCTACGGTTAGTGCTGTACTTTTTATAAATGTTTTGTCACGTGTAAAATTATATATATGTGGCTGATGTGTCTGCTCATAATTGCTGTTTAGGTATTTGCAGTATTATGCAAGCGGTTGAACGTTACTACCACTAAGTGATATCTTTTCCAGCGACGATTTTGGAAGCTAACTTAACGTAACATTAAGGGGAGAGAGGAAGCTTTACTTTAGTTATGGAATTGTTTTATATGATATGATGTAATTGGAAATGAGATTTCGTCAAAGTTATGTTTAAAATATAACGTTTAATCTTATATTTAGATAAGTGCCTACTGATATTAGAAAGTAGACAGCAAGATATACTTGTGTCAGTTGTACGTACAGACATCTAGCTAATTAAATTCGTCGGGCACGTCCTTTCTTTCACTTGACATTGAGACGTGACCGGTTGTATGTGATGGGGGATATTGACATTTAGTTGGTTGCTTGAGTGAGTTCAAATTATATAACGCGTTATTTACCCCAATCTTGCTTTGTTACGGATGTATGTGAATGCCTCACTTCCTTCATTACACGCATGCCTTTGTTACAAAAAAAAATATTGTGTAGACTTTTTGACGTATATAATCCTTGAAGCGATGAAATTGTTACATACAAATACGTGGTAGATATGACACTAGCGCACCGAACCTGAGGCACACAAATTACGTCTATTGGTGTGATTAGATTGCAATTCTGTTCAAAATTAGACTGCTATCATTTTCCGTATCATACGTTCTATATCGTCTGTCACATTCACTTATATACGTCATATAATGTAAGGCGGAACAATTTTTATACGAACACATGCGTCATGTTTAATAAAACATCATTAGAGTAGGAAAAATTCTATCAATTTTCTTACAGATAATCATTAAAATTTGAGAACTATGAATGTTGGAAAAAATGCATATAAGGGCTAGTTTTCTTGCTTTTAAAATAACATAATTATAATGAATGTTATATTACGGAAATAAATGTAAACAAAGTGAAATAAAAACTAATAGTTTTATAACACGACGCTCTTTAGTATAATTCGAATTTTTTTAACATAGCCAATTTTAAACATGAAATTATTACAATATATTATAAATAAATATATTATTCAAATTTGATTGTAAATTTATAAGCTAGACTGTTAATAATACACAAATTAAAATATTACCAACCAGAGGGTAAGGCAACCTAAGGAGAGCCTTAGTTAATTTCATTGATAGGTACTAAAACCAATGACGTTATTTAAGCCTTCGATTATGTTAGTCAACTTTGATTAAGCGAAATACGTGGCAGCATTACTACTTAGGCACAAGAATGTAGAATTTTTACGGTTATTTGAAAATCAAAGGCCTTCAAGAATTAACGGTGATCATTCAAATAATATTATAACACCAACAGATGAAAATGTGATTAAATTCCATATGATATTAAGACATGAATTTGATATCAATAGATGAAAATCTTCAGCATTATGCAACGATATTATATAAATCCTCTGGATCTCTCTTCGAATTTTTATATTCAGAATTAACTATGAAAAACATTTTTACAAACTGATAGTCAACTCGTTATGCTTGTTAGATAAATGGATTTGTTCGTTTGACAAAGCGCTTTAATAAAACAAAATTGAGCATAGATTTACGTTTCAAATTCATATTCTAGGAAGGCAGTCTATATTATTTGAAAATTGTAAATTACGCTACATATTATATAATACTAGCTGACCCGGCAAACGTTGTTCTGCCATATAAATTATTTGTAGGGTAGAAAAAAAATGTTTGGGGTGGACCACCCTTAACATTTAGGGAGATGAAAAATAGATGTTGTCCGATTCTCCACCCTGGCCGACATGCACACAAAATTTCACGAAAATCGGTTGAGCCGTTTCGGAGGAGTTCAATTACAAACACCGTGATACGAGAATTGTATATATTAGATATTATTCTGAGTACTGTACTTGTCTACATCCAAACTTTATCCCTCCTGATAATAAGATTTTTTTCTGAACCATTATTTAACATCGAAGTTTAAATTTAAGAACTACATTATTTTTCGAGATTTATGTATTAGTATTTTTTTTTTATATGAAAAGTTGTCAAACGAGCAGACGATTCACCTGATGTTAAGTGAATACCGCCGCCCATAGACATCTGCTACACCCGAGGGTTTGCAGATGCGTTGACAACCTTTTGAAAATTGGGCTCCGGCCACCTCACTCACCAGACGAAACGCGAAAGTATTATACTTTCACTTTACGCCGGTCTTCTGTGAGGTCGTGGTACTTACCCGGACGAGCCTGCCCATTCGTGCAACAGCCGAGGCTGTTGCGTGGCCCTACCACCGTACCATTTAAATTTCGTCACACGAGTCCCATTATTTTCGACTCCCGCTCGTCCTCTTCATTTTGAGGTAACTTGACTATATAATTCAATCTTTCTACTCACTTAAAAAACCAGAAGTAAGAATAACACGAGAACATCACTCGGCGAAAGTCCATAATATGTGTAATAAAAATAGGTTGAAGTCTGTCGAAGGCCTCACGACACGATTCAGTTTTGTACAGTAGGGTCAACTCGCTGCCTTTGCAGAGACGACCAGATGTAGGCTAACCAAACTAAGTACTTAGCCTTAAAATTATAAAAAAAGTTTGTAATATTTACATTACGTTATTAATTACGTTTACAGTAAAAGTTTCGCGTTTTAACAGGATTTTTTTTATTTTTAGATTTCGACCTGTGACGTCAACAAGCTAACTACTACCCAAGGGGAGTAGTTAGCTTCGTCGCGTGTTGTTTTAAAAACTTAATTAGATATTTACTCATTGAAGAACTCATTGACCCCAGACTATAATATGAAACGTGCTGTACAATTAGTGATTTCATTAACAATCACCGACTCGTCTTCACTTGACAGTAATCTTGAAAACTATAACGAATTAATAATCAAAGTCATGATATATTAAATATGTAGTTATATATTTTTTAATCATAGTTATAATTTTGTAAAATGTTACATTTCAATAATAAGATTGTAAAAGTGCTCGCTTAAATAAAGCATGGTGTGGTTCTCATCTTGAGCTTCAGCTATTATGTACAAAAGAGCCATTTGCCGGTATTATCCATTAAAATATAAGTAGGTATAACAATCTTAATTTGTGAAGAACAACACGCAAAATGAAAGTAGCGCTTACTTCCTTTCTTACTCTACAAGGAAAGCGCATTTCATTAATTTTGTATGCGAATGTTACCAAATTAACATTGTTACCCAGGGTAACTTACCCTTATTTGCTTATGTAAGTGTTCAAAATACTTTGTGATTAGAATTCAAATGGATATCATTTCAACAGGATCAAATGATATATCTGAACTTATAATTAAAAAAATATTTTCGAAACAAACTAATTAAATAAAAAAGAAATAAAATTTGTAACATCCTATACAACTACAACTGACTGATTCATACATTCACGAGACTTTTTCATTCTTTGCCAAAACGTCACATTACAAGTCTCTGATTCTAACAGAATGTTTTATCTCTTTTAAATTCATTCAACCCATTCATATGCATTGTGACTTTTACAAAATAGTGACAGACATAAATTAAATACTAGAAATAAGGACAAATTAATTACGCCATTGTTTCGTCTACAAAAAGTAAATAGATCGTTCATGGGGCAAAGTGTGCGCATGTATAATAAAATCCCACAATCGGTATTAAGTCTGCCACTAGATGAATTTAAACGCAAAATTAAAAGCGAACTTATGGCTAAGGCATATTATACCATTGCAGAATATCTTGACGACGCCAATGTGTGGGGTTAATGCTATTGATACTCACGTAGGCTAAAATGACATACTTGTTCTATTATATTGTAAACTAATAGTTTTAAAAAAGAGCAACTGTTGAGTTTCTTGCCGGTTTCTTGTCAACAGAAACTGCTTTCCGAACCGGTGGTAACTTACGAACGTATTAATTTTTATGTAAAATTTTTGACATTTCATAAGAACGCGCAAGCGTCTATGTGAATAAATATTTTTGGTTTTGAATGAACTACGTTACAGTCTTATACGTAAAGGTCTTCTAAAAATGTTTGTTTTGTAAAATTTAATAACTCTATAAATATTTATGTTTTAAGAATGTAAATGCTTAATACAATTTTAAAAAGTTATCGTCTATATGTGTGTTCAGTTATTGTCGCGGTTGTAACGACGCGTTGTATATAAATAGAATAGAAAAGGAGGCATAAGATAAGGAAGGTTGTAGGTTTGACTCCTTGTCAAGAGATTATTTTTCTTCTTTTAAACTGAAACATAACGAGAGTTTTTTTTGACATTAATACCGCACTTATTGATGATATTATAATCTTTTGCGTTTGTTAAGGTAAATAATAAATAATACATCACTGATTGTAAACACCCTTATCTATGCATAAATTAAGCAATGTATTGTTGTAGTATATGATTTTTTATCATATATCCAAATGTTGTTGCAGACCAATTATTTCAATATTTCATAATAACCTTTAAGTTGAATAAGTAAAGCATTTCTAAAACTAAAAAACAAAATTGACTTCAAACGTCTCACTTACTATAAATTTTTATGTGACTTTGAGAACTGGACTGGACTATAACTGTGGTAGCGCCACGCAACAGTCTGCTCTGTGACACGAATGGGCAGTTCCGTACGGGGAAGACCGACGTGACCTCACAGAAGACAGGGGAAGTGTTATACTTCTGCGTTTCGTCTGGCGAGTGAGGTAGCCGGGGCACACTTTATTTGGTTTGGATCACTGGATGATCTATCCAGGAGTGGTTCTCCTTACCTGTCTATTAAAACGCTGTGCCCGTTCAGGCGGGCTTTCTTCTGGCACAAAGAAATCTTCTTATTCTCCGAAATAATGAAGACTTTTATAACTTGGCTGGTCGAGAAGATGAAGATGACCTTAAAATGATCTTCTATTTTACGTTGCCGTTAGTGCCTCAAGGCTGCGCATTATCTCCGACCCTGTGTATATTACTTGATATGTGATGGCATTATTGGTAATTGCCTTTACCGGCCGCACAAATACTTCTCAGGATTTTGCTCAACGAGGGCCGGAAAGCACTTGGGGTTGACGTTGATAATCTATACTTTTTTAATGTGAAGTGTCAAATGAGCAGGCGGTTTATTATGCCGGTCTTCTGTTATAGTGCTGTTATGCAGAAGCTGATTTAGCTGTGGTACCCTACATTCGGATAGAAATCAGCTTCTTCACTATTAATTTATATGACGGAAGCCAGATGCTATTTCGTTGTTATCATAATGTTATTGTTTTCAGTAAGTTGTCAAAAAGACAAGGAAGCGGAGGAGTTCGTTTGCCCCGAGGGAGCGCAGGGTAATGGAAATTTCGCAGACCCCGCTACGTGCAGACGATTCTATCAGGTAATTAAATTATATAACAATAATTACTACGTTTTAAGATCGCGTAAATAATAATTTTTCTAACAAATAAATTAATAATCACGTTGTTTACTCTTAAAGCTTACTTTAATAGCTATAAATCAACGGCACACTACATATTAAAATTACAATCTTTAAAGCGCCGTTGATTTTTAGCGCTAATATATAGTGCTAATCTCTGCATTTAAGATCAACCATTAATATGTGCAGAAAAAATTTTTTCCTACACATTATAATGACACTAAAATCATACATATGATATGAAACCCCATCACTATCCGATTCTGTCCATTAGACAGAAAGAGTATTTTGATATGTAATCTTTTTATACGTTTTCATAAATTATTGGCGGAGGCAGGGCAACGCAGCAGCTTCTAATGTTGCTTGAATGTACTATCTTGGGGAATGTTAGTTGTCTGAATTAGTCTAATACACACTACAAATTAAAATTACAATCTTTATAGCGCCGTTGATTTTTAGCGCTAATATATAGTGCTAGTCTCTGCACTTAAGATCAACCTTTAATATGTCCAGAAAAAATTTTTTTTCTACACATTATAATGACACTAAAATGATATGATGTGAAACCCCATCACTATCCGATTCTATCCATTAGACAGAAAGAGTATTTTGATATGTAATCTTTTTATACGTTTTCATAAATTATTGGCGGAGGCAGGACAACGCAGCAGCTTATAATGTTGCTTGAATGTACTATCTTGGGTAATGTTAGTTGTCTGAATTAGACTAATTTCACCATAGTTAGATACCGGCCTGTGAAAGAATTATACGGCGTTACATTTGGTGAGTCAGGAAAACCCAATTTTTAAACGGCATGCAAACACATCGGCAACCGATGTGGATGTTCATGGGCTGAAATACCTGCTCGATTGCCACATTCTCATATGATTGAAAGTAATTCAATAAACAAACAATTATTAATGTCAAGATAGAATATGATATTTGCTTTTCATTTTCTTTTCAAAAATAACACAACTTACTAGCAACTTTGTAACAATGCACCTAACATTGTTCAGCTACTACTTAGGTAATTTTAATCAAGTTACCTATTTATAAATGATTTATTTATAACTACGCCTGACGTTATTTTATATTTGTCTGAGTAAACAGTTCGGCGTTAATGCGATTTTAAATCTTTGTGTGACTAAGGTTAACTTCGGGTCAACGTGATTAAAAGGTACTTTATACGACAGACGCAATAGTGACAAATGGTGAAGAATTTGTTGCATTTTCATTCATCTTATTGAATACCTGAGAAATGAACATTAAGTTTTAGGGCTGGCGATACAGATAAAACATGAAGCTTTAAAAAAATAAAAATGATGGTAGAAAGATGTGAGCCTCAAAAGCAATAGTGGACATGTTTAAAAAAAAATAAAAAATCAATAGCATTTTATCCACTGTATCGTTTATATTAACGGTGTTGATATTTAAAATGAGACTAATATATAATGGAATTTGCGATTATAATTTGACATTTTCTATTATTTTTCATATATAGTTAAGGTGTTGTAAGGTATTTTGGAAACAAACGAGTTCAAGGAGAATTTTAATAATAAATAATTTGCATATATATTCAATCAAGGAAGCATTCTGGTCTATTAATTCATGTTTGGTATTCGTCGTAACTGGTTGTGAGTAGCGGGTCAACCGGATTGTTACAAACTGGAAATAATTTTTTGGCCATTATGCTGAATATGCCAACACTTTCATAGTCGTATAATACCTCATTATTTGTAATATTGTGTAATGGATTTTAATAAATCAGCCTATCATGTGATAACCAGTTTTTTAACTCAAACTTGTATGTAAAATATACTTAAAAGTTTTTAGTTAGTCATATATTTGCTTGCCGTAACATTATATAATTCTTAACTAAATAGTGACATAATAAAGAAAACTGTTTACTAGAAGCAACTTTTGACGCATTTATTTGTAATGCTTCTGAAAGAAATGCAAAACTAGTTTCTATATGAAGAATTACCTTGGATCATCAAAACTTGATTGGATTATTTTTAGTACCTGGATGATCGAGCTTTGCTCCGACTTTTTTTCTCACAAAAGAAGGAATTTGAAAAACCGGCCAATTGCAAGTTGAACTCGCACGCGAAAAGTTCAGTATATCTGCATTATCTATAAAAATATCAAAAAACATGTTTGTTGGATGGGAGCCCCACTTAGAAAAATAAAAAATATATTCTGTTTTTTAGTATTTGTTGATAGCGGCAACAGAAATACATCATCTGTGATAATTTCAAGAACAACAACAAAACGTTCGTGAGATACAGCCTGGTTACAGACGGGCAGACAGACAGACAGCAAAGGCTTAGTAATACGGTCCTGTTTTAACCTAAAAAAGAGAAAATAAGAAAAAATATTTGGCCTCAAAAAAAAAAAAAAGAAAAAAAAAAATCATCTGGACTCGAAAAAAAAAAGAAAAGAAAGAGAAGAATCCGACGACGGACCTGCACATTCGTCCTACCATAATTTATTTGTAGTTTCATTGGAAAATAGAAAGAAACTAAATCAAGTTTTTTTTAAGAAATTAAAAAAGAGTCTGTCTTCACAGGTTTTAGATACAAGGCAATTTATATGTCCGCCACTTAAAAAATTAAATTATCTGATATTTTATAAAATAAAAATTAAAGAAACATTTATTTATAGCGTAGTACTTGTTATTCGTTCATTCATTTTTTTCGTCGTTCGTTAGAGCGAAGAATTAATGAAAAGAAAATCAATACTATTTACTTCTATACCTACTTTAAATTAAAGAAATAAAATTGAAAACTAAAAGTAAAATTTTAAAATACAGTTTGCTTCAAGAACAATGTATAAAAAACAACAATTGATTATGCGTAATCATTTATTCAAAGACAATCGTGGATGATCGAAATCGAGAATAATTGTCTCAAAGCCATTTCTATCATTAATGTCAATTTTGGTAATTTATATTACTGTTAAAGGATTCCATTTGGGAGGTTTTTATGGCTTTGATCCTTCTCAGTGGTAATAAATGAATGAGTTATTGAGATCTACTTTACCAACTTCTAATTCGAGTTAGTTTTAGGGTACGATAAAATTTTATTAGACATCGTTTTAAAATTGTTTAATTTAAAAAGTCTCCTTTTTCAGATTATTTAGTCATGCGTAGAAAGTATAAATCGTACTCAACGATTCGGTATTTAATTAAAGTTAGGCCAATTTAGTTTTTGAGTTCCTTTACTTTTAAAATTATACAAATTTATGAAAGAATAAATAAAAAGAGCAGAACTGTCTTTATAGATACTTGTAAAGCTAGCTATTTCTGTAATAACAATATTTATCAATACAATTAAAAATAATATTTAAGCAATTAACAGAACCCTGGAATGAATTTGAAAAAAACACAAAAGAATTTTAATTAAAAGATATCAACTTTCACAATGATTACATTTTTTTCGAATTGATTTGGTAAATTCCATTTTTTTTAGTTTTTTATGAAGATGTTTCGAAAATACTACACTCTCTCATTTTTTTAATGTTTGTGCAAGAAATTTATCTTTATAATATTACGTTATTGACAGATATAAATATCGAATTCTGTTATGTTAGTTTATACGAAATAAAAAGCAGAGACACTGTACATATAGCTATACCATTTGCGGGAATACGCAAGACAATAAATATGCGATGTAACTTTTCAGTCCCCGTATTACATTTTCAACATAAAAATAAAACATTTTCTGCATGTAGGCCTTCCTAATGTTAAAATAATTTCGGATATGTATCAAAGAGGCCTGTTATGCGCATGGATTCAAAGGCAAGACCCTTGGCTCTCGTGTATCAATCAATCAATCAATATCAGCCTATTGCCGTCCACTGCTTAACGTAAGCCTCCCTCAAAGTGCGCCGACTATCCCGGTCCTGGGCAGCCCGCATCCGTATATAGTAATGATTATTAAATAATAGTAATTTAACGGCGGTAGGGCTACGCAGCAGCCTCGGCTGTTGCACGATTGGGCAGGCTCGCCCGGGCAAGTACCACGATCTCACAGAATACCAGCGTAAAGTGGAAATATAATACTTTCGCGTTTCGTCTGGAGAGTGGGTGGCCGGAACCCAATTTTCAAAAGGCTGTCCATGGGCGGCGGTATTCACTTAACACCAGGTGAACCGTCTGCTCGCTTGGCAACTTATCACATAAAGAAATGATAGAACAGTTAAAAATGTCAAACCCGTCTTGAAAAGCCATCATTAATATGCTCTGATCATCGCTTGTATACGTGAAAGTTGTTTTAAACATATAATTTCAAAATAAGCGACTTAGAAAAATAATAAGAAAGAAGTTTCAAGTCAAAACGATGTCGGAACTCGTGCTCTTGGATATAAATATGAAAACAATTGTCTATGTTTCAACTACGAAAACAACCTGAGAAATGTTTTAATAATAGCATAGACAATACTAATTATTACCTTCACAGTTTGTTTGAAGCGAGTTTAAAAGGTTACCAGACTAACTACATAGACAGGCTCTTACAATGCGATACCTGAGTATTAGATGATTTTAATTCTTATGTAATGTTCTTTCATGGCCGTATATTTAAATATTCTCTCGTCACTTATTATTGTGTTTATAACAATAAAAGCAACAAACATTGGGCTATTTTTAAAGTATAGCTTTTTTCATAAGATCTTTTATTAATAATCTTTCAGAACCAGGGCAAAATTAAACTAAGGTTTAATTAGGACAATGAAGTAACGCCTCTAATTTTGTAAATTGAATTAATATAAATAATATAATTTTGGAAAATTTTTATTATTCTATTATAAAATCTATTCAAAGGTACGATGTTGTTAACCATCCTTTATTTATGCGGTGTGTGAATTGTGTCATATATTTTGTATATAACAGTTTCATACAAAGGTATGAAAATATGCGTCGAATATTCCCGAAAACGGCATTCACTGAGTTCTGCGTATAATGTTCCTTTGTTCAAGTTAATAAGGGTTCCGTCCCTTGCCTTCATATTTGATTTAACCTACTTATTGTTTTACAGTGTGTCGACGGCTACCCGTATTTGAATAGATGTCCCTCGGGCCTCTACTTCGATGATATTAGCAAGTATTGTACATTTAAAGCCGAGGCACGGTGCGGCCCCATTGCCACAAGTGAGTACGACTCTACGTGTATTAATTGAACGTCTCCGACACACGTTCCGTTCGCCGGAGTAAGTAAAATCGGATTACGTGTTGCCAACCATATGGAAAGGGAACCGGGAACGTTGCGGGAATACCTAAACGTATTAAAGATTCATTCCCGGAATACAATGCTGCGTTGTGCTTAGCGTTTTCGGTCCTTGTTAGTGTACAATACCGTGATATTCACCTGCCCTTTTGTTATTACATTTAATAGCATTAGTTTTCTGTAATACTCTCAACGGCATAAGGCCCTCTGAACTATGAACCCATTGTTACAAAATTTTCATAGCTGTATCAACAAAATTATGTTAGAATTATTAAACGGTGGAAAAATATGGTTCAACCTTATGGTCTGCGCGCTTGATTATGAAGTGCGGTTTAATTAATAAAAAAGTAAACTTTCGAGATGAAGTAAGCCTTACTACGTGAATTTATTAGGTTGTAAAGCTTTATAAAAACAAAATTTTCTTAATAGGTCCTTCGCATGGAATTTAACTTCCTGTGATTTATCCATCAACTAAACATTTACGCATTATGACCCTTTGTTGCCATTAAAAACAATATTATTTATCTTTGAACGTACTAATTAGCTGCTTAGTTGAATAAAGGAATCAGTATTACTTTTAATGAATAATACAGTGTAACACACAGTGTAGTGTTATAACTACACCATTATTGTTTTGATAGCACCAGCACCGATTACCGAAGCTCCATTAGATTTAGCGACTAAATGCGATCTATCCGAATGTGAGCTGCCTTATTGTTTCTGCTCCAAAGATGGAACTCTCATTCCGGGTGGCTTGGAGCCGGAAAACGTAAGTCAATTATTTTATTTATTATTTTTTTTTGTAAGAAGATGCCAAGCGAGCTGTGTTTATGTTAAGTGATAACCACCGTCCATTGAGATTTGCCACACCTTGGTTTTTGATGATGCGTTGTCTTTAAAAGTGGGCCCCGTGTGAGTGAGCTCACACACCAGACGAAACTCAGAAGTATAATACTTCCATTTCACGCCGGTCTCCTGCGAAATCGTAGCACTTCCCCGGACTGGGCTGCCCATTTGTGTAGCAGCGAGGACTTGCGTGGGCCTACCAGGCTACCACAGTTGTCATACATAAAGATAAGTAATGTTATATGTAGTAGCGAGTAATTTTATAATTAAAAAGTATGTTTGCAATTTATATTTAAGAAAGATTAACAATAAATATGTAGGGCCAAGAAAATAAGTAAATTAATAAAAAAAACAAATGGCAGTACGGGCTTTAAGGGGGAGAGGAAACAATTGATTCTTATAATTTTGCTTTTTAAAACACAGATTGTCCTTGTTTCTGTTTTATGGACAAAACAAAACAAAGAAAAAACAAGTACAACAACAAAAGATATTCGAAAGTGGAATCTATACAAGTTAATTTCAATAGAGAAAACAAAAATATTTCTCATGCATTCTATGGGCGCTATTTCCATCCATTATTGTCAAGTTATATTTCAACTTTTTAGAGTTAATACAATTGAGCTACGTGTTTATGCGCTTACACTTCTAATTTTCATAATATAACATTAACGTCGCTCAAAGATAAAGTATGGAGTTATTATTCGCAGACGCCGCAAATTATTATGTTGACTTTCGACGGCGCTGTCAATTTGAACAACTACGATTTGTACAAGAAAGTTTTCAATGGAAAGATACTCAACCCGAACGGTTGCCCAATACGCGGCACCTTTTTCCTGTCGCACGAGTACAGGTGAATATTACAAATTCATTGTTTTATGCGTCACAACGAGCTACATAAGTCAGAAGACTACAATGTTAATGATATAAGTGGTCTCCTGTGAGTCTGTAATCTGTATTTCCCCGGATGAGCCTTTTTTGTTGTATGGGGGTAGGGGTGATCTGCAAAAGGTCTTTTGAGGATCATCTGGGGGAAGACAAGGTTATATGGGCTTTCAGCGAGTGGCCACATTCAGTGCGTTTAGAGGGGCTCTTGGATCTATTATCCTCCTTTTTCCGGGGCTACAAACTATACCTATAGTGCTTATATAAGTAATAAAGTAAATTGTTAGGGTAACCCTTCTATGATATATTACACAATAAATTAGAGATATGTCATTTGGTACGTTAAGCGTAATTTTCTTCTTATGAGAACTAGTGAGAGTATCTTTATTCCAAGGTACTAAGGTTGTACGTGTATACGTGTCAACAGATTCAATACATACTCGGTAAAGGTTAATACATATAAATAATACTCGTAATACATATAAAACTCCTGATTGATTTGATTTGGTATTTTGGAACGCATGTTTTTGTTATATTGTCTAACAAAGTCAGCAGGTAAAAACTTGTCACGTTTTTATCCTGGTACTTTGATTAAAGATGAAAAGTTGGTTGATATATTATTTATTATTTGTGAAATAAATGTTTGAAGCTGGTTTTAACTATTCTCATATATATTATGAGATGTGTTAGAGGGCACCTTCTGCTTTGAATATATTATATTATAATCCAATGGCAATATCCTTACAAATGGACTGTGTTTACGATAATATTGGTATTGTATGATTGACATTCACTATATTATCGAAGCCGCTATTAACTTTATAGAAAAATGTCATTCCCTATATTTTTATATTAATTTATTTACTCTTAACTTTATTACTTTGAAATATGAGATACAAAGAAAATATTGTATATCTATTTAAATATGTATAGTATATCTTTACTAGCGGACCTGACAGACGTCTTGTACACACGACTAAAATCCGACAATTTATAATTAAAAAAAAATGTAGTGTACTGAATTGTGAATTTAAACGACCTGAAGACAAACAAAAATATCAATAAAAGCGGTCCAGCCGTTTTGGACGAGATCAGTGACATACACACGTACAGAAGAATCACTACATAATATAAAACAAAGTTGTCCCGGTTTCTGTCTGCCCCTATGTATGCTTAGATCTTTAAAACTACGCAACTGATCTTGATGCGTTTTTTCACTAGATAGAGTGATTCGAGAGGAAGGTTTTGTTTAAAATGTATAATACATTGCAGATGAAGCCCGGGCGGGTCGCTAGTTATATATATATATATATATATATATATATATAAAGATTAGCAGAATAGTTCTTTGTTTTCTCTGTAATCATTCATACAAAGCCACTGAAGATGTAGGTTGTATAATATGTAAATAACATTGATATTTTCCTTAAGTTGTAAAATGAAACCACGGGATACTTGTAATCGTCTATATTATTACTTTCCATAATTATAATAGTTAATAGTTAATCTAGTACAAAATGATAAGGTAACAGCGCTTTGCTTAGTATGTCTCGACTTCTCTCAGGGTTCACAGCCGAATGCCGTGTGCCGCCTGCTATCGGTTCCTTGAAAGTATCACTTACCCGCCACACAAGCTTTCAACCAATGAACACGAGGCGACATTGGCGCGAAACCGATATTTATTCAATCAAATTACTTATTACCTTAACAAAAATATTAAAAACAATCAATTTAAACTAGATAATTAAGTCTTAATTTAGTATTTAATATAAAATAATTCACGCGGCCCCACTGCGGATTGGCGGACTTCACATATCTTCGAAAAATATTTTTTTTTGTTATTATTTCGAAAATATGCAGGTTTCCTCACGATGTTTTCCTTCATGGTGGACTATGCCCTGATACCCTCTGCATAGAGGAGGCCTTTGCCCAGCAGTGGGACATGTATAGGCTGTTGCTTTACTTTACTTTATAAAATAATTACGACCTTAGGAGATGGAAAATACATTGAATTAATTATTTATCAAATTGACTTACAAATAGCTTACAAAGAATAATTAAAAACCAAAAAGATCCCATAGAAGCTAATATCGCATGATCTTTAACAAGGACAAGACTAAGGAAAACGTGCAAACGACGTCGACCGCTGTGATATCTAGTGTCTTTTATGTGCGGAATTAATGCAAAACAACTTGAAATTCTATACGTTCGCGCCCGTGCGTCCGTGAAGGTACACACGCGTTCAGGGTCAATATCGAGGAATCGTCTGTGGATTTAAATATTGTCATTTACATACTGCGGTCTGTGTTCTCGCTAAAGTGCTTATATGTATATAATATATATTTAGCAAATAAATGATAACCACATAATAAGAACGAGGTGGCCTGAAAGACGACCAACGAAAAGTGGAAGAATTGATGCTTGTGCATTTTATCTGGTAACTGAGATATCCAAAGCTTACCTTATTAAAGATAGTAAACGCTATTGCACCCTAACGAGTGTTGAGTTTGTTTTTGCTAATCTCATTAGAGTAGTAAACGCGTGCTGATGTGCCATCTTCTCCCACAAATAAAAGATTATCTTATTAGAATTATTTATTCTAATTAAATTTATTCAGTAATAACAGTGCCCCAATTGACAAGCACGGAAACCGGTAGGAGTCGCATTCATTATGGAACACGTATAAGAAAGTTATAAAAGAGAAATATTTTTATACGAATTTTCTTTGACAGTCAGAAAGACATACTCGGAAAAGTTTAAAAGATAAAAAGAATTTTCTTTGATTATCATTTGCATAAAGATAATGAATAAAGAGGATATATGTTTTTACTTATTTCTTAATATAATGCGCGTTTATTTCAATGTTATGATAAATTAAAATGAGAACGCACGGTTTAAAAGATTGCGTTTGAATTGTATAACATGAAAGTATCATTTACAGTATTATTTTTAATTCTTATGCAAAGAATAAATTATTGTATCACGTACACAAGCATTAATATTAATGAATAATTGTTTAAGCGGCAGAGCATTTGTAGGAAAATAACATAATTTACATTTTAGGTTACGGTCTGCGCTTCTCATAAATGTCCCTGTGGCAGTGATGTCGACAAGCTAGGACATCACGGACTGTCATGCCAAAAAAGTACAGGTCACTTCTCGAGACATGCCGCACTTAACGATATCATACGCCGGTCCTTTGCCACCGTTAACGTGCCAAGTCTACTTGAGCCGACTGGTATTGCAAGAGACGATGGCAAGAGACCGGACGGTATGAGTTTGATTCCATGGAAGATGGGCCGATGGTATGGGATTAAACCTGTTCAGACACGCTGGCCCCTTCTCATCTACATGGAACCAACAACAGAGCTGGTGCGGCTTGTGAAGCGGCTGAAAAAGCTAAAGCTTGCAAATACAGGGGTCTAGGCTCCGAATATGATTTTGTCCCATTCGCTGTCGAGACCCTTGGTCCGTGGGGTCCTGGCGCTATAAGGCTTTTTAAGGAAATAACAAAAATTTTAGTCGACATCACAGGAGACCGAAGAGCTGGCAGCTACATCGGACAAAGAATTAGTCTAGCTATTCAAAGGGGGAACGCTGCCAGTATCTTCCGAACCTTGCCTAAAGGGACTCCTTTTAATAACATATTTTAGTTATTATGTTATATATTTTTTAAGGTTTTTAGTTTTAGGCTACAGCTATATTATGTGAACATATTAGTAGTATCTTCTATTAAATATATGTTCATTTACATTTTCATTTGTTCATTCTATAAAAGTTTTTATTTTAAAATTTCAGCAATTACGTTATGGTGCAAAGCCTTGCTCATGACGGGCACGAGGTAAGTGTATGTTTATGTAGTCGTAGTATCGGTACTTGGTTATTTGATTGTCTATTTACAACGTAATCCGCCAAATAAAATTCGTCATTAGATCGCTACCGGTACGGTATCCCAACAACAAGGCCTCCAGGACAAAGGTTACGAGGAATGGGCCGGTGAAATGATTGGAATGCGGGAAATACTCAAGAAATTCGCCAACATATCTCGCACAGAAATCGTCGGAGCCAGGGCACCATTCCTAAAGCCCGGCAGAAACACGCAATTTAAGGTGAGTCGATTGAGAAACACACGTATTACCCGTCATGGTAATCGGGCCACTAGCGTGTGTCATTAATAAGATCCAACATTTTCGGTCTTAGAGTGCTAAATTAGTAATGAGAAACAAATTAGATGAACAAAAATGTTTTCAATAATGACAGTTACTAAGTAAATTATATGTTATCATTTGAAATAGTACATATTCAGGTTTTATATCGGCGTAAAATATAATTATGTTTAATATAAGTTCTGTGGTAGGGGCACGGAACAGCCTCTTTCTGTTTCACGAATGGGACAGGTCCATCCGGGTAAGTGCCACGACCTTACAGAAGACCAGCTAGAAATGGAAGTGTTAAACTACTGCAGTGACGGAGGTAAACAGGCTCACTTTACACAAGGTAGCAACGCAACTGTAACCCTACAGGTGTCGCAAATGTCAATGGGCGGCGGTTATCCCTTAACATCAGGTGAACTGCCGTGTTTGTCACCTTCTCCCATAAAATAAGAAATAAAAATATATAAGTATGCAAATCTTATACATACGCTATCTGGTATCAACTACTCATTCTTGCTATTCGTTATTGGTACAGAAGATAACAGCTACTACTAAGTTGGACTTTCGTTTTCGTTTGGATAATCAATTATAATCAAAGTGTTTTTTTATATTGAAAGTTATTTAAAACACGTACAAATCTTACCTAAATAACAAATTAGCTGACGTAAACTAATCTGAAAAAATGCGTGCCCTGGAATAATATTGAATTCATTCAATATTATTCCACGGCATGCATTTTCCATACAAACGAAAATCCTTCAACGAGAAGAAATTTTCTGTTGATTGAAGCGTTAGCACTCATCCGCGTTTTAAAAAAGAAATATTTCTTTTTAGTTCATGACCCCGATTTTACTATGTAGTTCAATTATAAAATTCAATGTAATGGTTATTATTACTTTTATAACTACCCTTTGAGCTATGAATTGCATATTTAAACATGATAACAAAAATTATACAAATCCTGGGTTACATGGACATTTTTATTTGAATAATATCAAAAGCAAATACTAATATTATACACGCGTCAGCACTTTATTCTTTATTTCATTGCATGTATCATAAAAACGAATATATGCAGAACTGTAAATGTTCTACGGTAATTATTGTGGGAATAAATTTTATTGAAATGTTTGTTTCGTATTTCGATGAAAAGGCGTCATTCGACATTTTCCATTTTGTACATTTCGTTTATTTTTTAAAAGCTCAATGAAATTAAATTATCCATTTCAATTTTAATAATAAATCTGCTTTGAGTGTTATTTACGACATTACGACTTATTAACTAATAAATAACTGAGAAAAATGTTCAAAATTTATTTAAAAAAAACATGAAAGTTCTTTTATTGTTATACAGACACTACTGCGAAAATAAACATGGGAGAGTCGGCTCAGACAGCTACAGGTTAAAAATTGGTTTAAAGTCAAATCATCCCAAACGTGTTAAGACAACATTAAATTTAGAATTTAATAATTGGCGCAGAATAATCGCGAGGACAAAATTAGGAAAAAAAAAACAAAGAGATTGGCTGGTGACATAATTATTAATGTCATCTTTATATAGGATGTTAATAATTTTATTAACGTCTTGTGTAAAGAATGTGAATATAAAGTAAATGCGTAATGAAGCTTTATTGAACTTCCGAGTTATTAAAAAAATATATATATTTATATGGCCTATATATATAAGTTAATTAGACTCTAATGCTGAATTGGTAAATAGCATCGCAATTACACCTAATTCATTAAAGGTTTAAGCTAAATATCCACATAAAGCAATAAACAGCTAAATATGAAATACGATTAATTTGAAAGGCTGCATATTACTGAGCTGTCACGTCAAATTTTATGTTATAAATGAATTCTGATTTTCGATTTTTAATGTCATATTATGTATTTAATTCTTTAATTTCTTCAGGTGTTGGAGGACTTTGGATATATTTACGATAGCTCTGTTGGCGTTCCACCACTTCCGATACCGATATGGCCTTACACCTTGGATTACAAGATACCCCATGAATGCAAGTCAGGCACATGTCCAACAAAGTCATTCCCTGGTGAGATATCTACATCATCTTGGAATCAGAAAAACATTTCCGAACTACGAATAGATGAATATTGATAACTTACGTTATATATCCAACAAATTATTGAGAAGCTTTTGCGAAATTACGTCGTGTTTATACGACAAATAATTTGGAACCGTTCGGAGATCTATAAAAGTCTGTGGGGGTGTTATTAGACGATAAGTTAATAAATGTGTTACTTTCTACCCGGCTAGGTTTATGGGAGGTGCCCTTCAACGCACATTACGTGGAATCCTATGAGGGCGGACACTGCCCCTACTTGGATCAATGCGTATTACACAACCACGACCCAGACGAGGTAATTGTTTTCCCAAACGAATAAAGTTTTTAGTTTGGTGATATATTTTGGAATTGCTCGCATAAAATATTATAAACGAATCAATGAATCTAGTATAAATTAAAATAAACCGATAGAAAAATAAAAATAATAACACTGACGTTAAGATATTTAGCTTTTACGACGCCGTCTTAAATATGTAGAAAAAATATAATATAATACTTTATATAACTTTACATAGAGGAAAAAACCGAGCCACCTTATTTTTTAGACTATCAAGAATTCAACGTATTTTTCGTTTCATTTTTATTTTCGTATTAATTAGCAAATTCTGTTTTTACTGCCACAAAGCTTACGACAACAAAGTAAAAGCAAAAATTCAAATAATTTTCGTTCATTTCAATAAACAATAAAACAGTGTATCGGAGAATTGGGTCGAACTACGATTCAATATCGTGGAATGGCTTATTGGATGAAATCGTATACATAAATAAAACAAATTGGTCTACTGGAAGGTATTCTTAAATCAAGCGATATGATCAAAGTTTATTTACCAATTATGACTCCTTGTATAAATAAAAAAAATGTAACATGATGTTAAATAGATGAATTTATTAATAACAAGAAGTTAAAGGTTAGTTATAGTGTAATTGCAACTTGAACTCCGGTACCGGAGCACCAATGAATTGGAAAAACATCAAAGTGAGGAAACCTGCATATTTCATCATCATCAAACAAAAAATAAAACTAAGAAAATATTTCAAAGATATGTGACGTCTGCCAATCCACGGAGGGCCTTTCGCCTATCGCCTATACCCTAATACTCCCTGTAAAGAGGAGGCCTTTGCCACCAGTGGGACATATAAATAGGCTGCAATCTTAGTTTATTTTTTACATTTACACAAGTAAATATTGTCAAGTAAGTTTTCAAATGTCAATTTGCTTGTTCAGGTGCTGGAATGGCTGCAGGAGGATTTCAATAGGTATTACGAGCAGAACCGTGCACCGTACATGATGCCGTTCCACACTAACTGGTTCCAGATTAAAGAGCTCGAGCAGGGCCTCCACAAGTTTCTCCGTTGGGTGGCTGATTTGTAAGTCAATGAGTTCCCGCCCAACTATTAGGTTAAACTACAATGATGAGGTGCAAAGCGAACTAAAAGCCGTTAAATTATTATCTCAATTCGCATTTCAAGGATCCTTAGGGGCCCTCCTCAAAATTATTTCGCTGTTATTTTAGGGTATGGTGTAATAATATCAGTCGATGTAGGCAGAGGTAAAATATTACCTATGAACATGTTTATTAGAAGTGAAGTAAGTGTTAGTAACAAAATTACGCGATGTTGATGATGGTTTTGCGAGGTATAGATTTTTATGTATTGGTTTTCGATAATGATCTAAATATTGATAACTTTCTGTAGTTATTGTTGTAATTAAAAAAATTAAAATTGGATCCTTGCTGTATTAGTAGATTATTGTTTTTTAATCAATTTAAATATATTTTAACTACGATTTGGTTAGCCCAGGAATGATTGTTTTCTCATATTATCTATCCTCTAATACGTGGTAAAAATTGAAAATCAACTTTCACCGTGTCATTGCATATTCATGGACAGTTGAAGACAATACGACAAGTAATCTGTTATACATTGTTGAATATTTACTTACAGGGACGACGTGTGGTTTGTGACGGTAACCCAAGCTTTAACTTGGATGACTGATCCCAAGCCAGCGAAGGCGCTAAACAATTATGAAGCGTGGAAATGCGACAAAAGAGACTTGCCAGCAGCGCCCTGTAATCTTCCCAACAAATGCGCTCTCTCATTCAAACATCCCGAGACTAATTTCACCGACACGAGGTACATGGAAACTTGCAGCGAGTGCCCCAAACAGTAAGTGAACGCCTTTTAATATGAATTTATGCAGATTAAAAATCTTTTTCATATTTCATTTTTAAACAATTGATTATAATAAAAATTGATCAATCAATCAAGTTAAATATTGTAGTGGAATAAATCTAAAATTGGAGATTATACATTGTAGAAAATGTGTTCTAATCATTGTTTAAAGAAAGTATAAAGAAATCATACAATTTGTTTATAGGTTTCCATGGTTGGGTGATTCTGGTGGCACAGGCATTTCAGGTAAAGACAACTACATACCTGACAATTTGAAAAGGAAGTAGAAAATGTTTGAAGACTTTGTAAGATTTAGATTAATCTATTCAGTGTACTGTTTAAATTAGTAGGGTCTATTCTGAATAGATTATTCGTTTTTGTACATACCTATACATTAAACATAAAATTATTATAATTATTAAAGTCAATACATTTGTATCGATGTAGATATAATAATGAAGTTTGTCGCTTATTTATACACATGTAAACGAGGTGCTCTATATGTTTTTAATACAGTTCTAAAAACTATTAAAATAACTCATAGAATATAAACGTAAAAAAGAAAACCAACTTCAATACTTTGAAAGGAATAGATTTTTTTTTATTGTGGCTTATATAGGAATGATCTAAAAAAGACGGTAACAAATACAATTTTTACCAACAGTTGTAGTCACAAAGATTTATATATGTTTATTTAAAAATAAGTGTAATATATTAAATTCCGTATCAATTCAAAAAAGTTCTGTATAAGAGTTATTTCAACGTTTCTGGTCATTGTTTGCTCATTACGTATTAAATATCAACTAAATACAATAGATAAATAATTAATTTTTGTGCACAAACGTACCAATTTTATCTTTTATTGTATATGTAAAGGTAATATTTTTTACTCTTGTTAATTGTTTTTGTATCGAAATCAAATTGGTTGGCTGAATAAAAATAATTTACAGTTACATTATTGTCCCATTTTAATTTATAATCAAAATTTACTTCTTTCCTCTCCGATAGTGAAATATTTCAAAGGGAGGAAATATCCTTTCCTTTTTTTTTTACCGAAAATACTGTTTAATAAACTTTGCAGTTTCATCCAATACTAGTATAACAATTTTCGGCTATTGAGCTTGTTATAATGTCTTTGAGGAAACGCTAGCTTATGCCAGTGGCATGCGCATATTTGCATGTGCGACGTCTGGCGTAGGCATGCTGTCGGAATGCCGCTTATGCACAGTCCAAGAGAGGAAAGCATCGATGACCGTTAGCTGTAACGGTCATCGATTGACGTCGATAGTTTAGATGTGTGGTTCCTCCGAGTTTACTTTGTTAAACTATTTGGCGTTTTCCAAGGCGAGGTCAATTTATCAAACGATGGCCGCCAGATGCGTTTTATTGACGGTTCGAGCACTCTCGGGTCTGTTACAATCTCTTCGACAGGACCAATAAAAAGTTTTGTCGGTGAATACCTCTCCGCGATGACTATTTCTGGGGCGACAAGATAGTTACTGAAATAAGTTATGTTACGATAGATAATAAGGGTAAGTGTAAGAGTAAATGTTAGAATAAGCGGACAAGACACCCACCCTATTATCCATTATTAATTAATACAGGGGCAAATTATTTTCGTCGAAATTAATTGCGCTGTTCTTCTTGTTTTGTTGTGCACGATTGACTGCACCTCTGTCTATTGAGCTGAGGCGATTCTTATAAGCAGTTCAGATCCGATATAGCGGGTGTCTCAGATAAGATTCCACTTTTTAAAATTAGAATACCTAAATTTTTTTCATGCAAGTTACAACTCTGAAATTTGACAGCTGTCACCTCTGTTTATTCCGATTATTAAGCATTATAGCTTTTCGAAAGAACAACGCGTTATAATTGTGAAAACTCATTACAAAACTGAGGAAAGTTACGCTGAAACCGCTCGCAAAAACTGCCAAATTTTCAGCTGAGAAAGTGCACCTAATATGTAAACCATTAGAAGAGTGGTCACAAAATTTGAAGAATGGGGTCAATTATGGATACTAAGAATCCTTTGCGTAAACGTACCGGTCGATCTCATGAAAACATTGCTGTGTGTTGCGAGCGTCGCCGAAAACATCAATTAGACATCGTTCTCAACAATTGCAAATTTCACGAAGCACTACGCAAGCGAATTTTGACAAAAGACAGAAGTTAACTCAAGAGCTCAAACCGGCAGACCACGGAAAGCGCCGGCAATTCGTTCAATGGGTAATGGAGCAAAGTGAAGTCGATGCCAACTTTTCGAAAAAAGTCATTTCCATATGTATGGCTTCGTGAATACACAAAATTGTCGAATTTGGGACTTAGAAAATCCAAATGCAATCCATCCACCCACAACGAGTAACTGTCTGGTACGGATTTTGGTCAGGCAGCGTGATTGGACCTTACTTTTTTGAAAATGAAGCCGAAATTGCAGTGACTGTGAACGGCATTCGTTACAGGAATATCGTAACTGACTTCTCGTGGACTCATCTTGACGGCGCAATCTGCCAAACCGCGCATGAAACACTCGACTTATTGCAGCAACGACTTCCAGAACACATTATCTCATGAAATTCTGATGTCAACTAGCCACCAATATCGTGCGATTTAACGCCGTGCGATTTTTTTCTTTGGGGTTTTGTGAAATCTCGGGTTTATGCGAATAATGCGTTTTATGCCGCACGCTGCGCAATTTCAGGCTTCTTTAATCGACGCTGTTATTGCAATCAACGGCAAAGGTGCTGAGCCATTTATATGGTCACCTGAACTTTTAGAGCAATTTGAAGTTTGCAAAAGGAACTTATCCAAGGCCACATTACTGCAACATCCGGTTAGCATCGCAGCTCTTGGACTTTTTACAGATGCATTCAGCGTACACATCGGATCCTGCCTTCAACAACAAGTTGACGGTGAGTGGTTTCCCCTTGCTTTCTTTAGCAAGAAACTCACCACCACAGTGGCCGGCTTATTACCGCGAGCTATTGACGGTGTACGAAAGCGGACAACATTTCCGCCACGTTCTCGAGGTCCAGCACTTTACCATCTTCTCGGATCATAAGCCGTTGTTGTACGCTTTCGTACAACGGTGAGAAAAACTTCCACCTGCTCAGCTAAACCAACTGTCCTTCAACAGCCAAATCACTACAGATATTCAATATATTAAGGTAGAGGACAACGTGGTTGCTGATGCGATGTCGCGTATTGACGCTATCGCCTTCGAGCAAGATACGAGGCCCGATCAGGAGTTATCTTACCTGCGTCTTCAAGGCTCCAGCCTTCAATTGACTGACGTCATTATGCCTGGGACCAATATTTCCGTTACTTGTGACGTTTCCACCGGCAAGCCTCGCCCCTACTTAATCCCTTCCTTTCGTAAACCTACTTGCAACAAACTTCACAATCTTAACCATCCCGGTGCACGAGCTACTACTTATCTCGTCCGAACGCTACGTCTGGCCTTCTGTCAAAAAAAATTGCAAAGAGTGGGCTCGCGCTTGCGAGGCGTGTCAACGCGCCATAGTCTCCCGCCACAATTCTCCTTCTCTCGGCAAATTCGATCTTCCGTCTGGTCGTTTCAAACATGCCCATATCGACATTGTCGGTCCCTTGGCCACCTGTAACGACTTTCGTTACTGCTTAAAGGCTATCGACAGAGTTACCAGATGGAATGAGGTCTGGTCCATGCGTTCCATCACCGCCGAGGAGGTTGCTGAAACTCTGACACGAGATTGGATTCCCCGTTTTTGTCTTCCGTCGGTTATCACAACCGATCAAGGCTCGCAGTTCGAGTCTGATTTTTTTTCGCTGATGTCGCATTTCGGCACTAAACGAATCAGGAGCACTGCATATCACCGTGTGGCAACGGCATGATTGAGCGCGTTCATCGGCAGCTTAAGGCTGCTCTAATATGCCACCACGACTCTTGGGTTCGTTCGCTTCCGTTCGTCCTGCTAGGCATGCGGTCCGCTTTCAAAGAGGATATAAAAGCCACAGCCGCTGAAATGTTTTATGGGGAATCTCTTCGTTTGCCCGGTGAATTGCTCGTTCCAGCTTCGAACACGGATAATCTTGACGATCCTGCAGATTTCGTCGTGCAACTTCGCAGCAAAATGTCGACTGTACGTCCCATTCCTGCATCCCGTCACTCAACTCCACATCCTTTTTTTGCCACCCAAGTTTTCGTTCGCGACGACAGACGTCCTTTACAGCTACCTTACAATGGACCATATCCCGTCGTAGATCGCGTCGTAGACGAGGGAACGTCAGAGTCGCATACTTGTGTCCTCGAGCACTCCAGTGGGCGCTCCCCAAAGTTTAAAGAATGTAAATGTTTAATACAATTTTAAAAATTTATCTTCTGCATGTGTGTTCATTTATTGTCGCGTTTGAAAAGACACGCTGTGTATGTCGGATCGCCTTGGGTGTTTTACGACCGACGTGAGGTTGAACTATCATACTTCTGCATTTCACCTTGTAAGTAAGAGAGATCAGAGCCCCCTTTTTTAAAATGGCAACACATCTGCAACCCGCGATTATCATTTAACATGAGGTGAACTACCAGCTTGCTACCTTCTTACATAATATAAAGACATGTATACCTCTGTGTACGTGATCTTCACATTTGTATCTTGTATTATCTTGTATTAACTGATGTTTTTGCTTTCAGTCCCGAGACTATTAAAGCTTCATCTGACGCAAAACCGGTGGGCTAGCCAGAACCCACGGGTTTGGGCCCTCCGCTGTGGGTAGGGCCGCGCATGTGCTCATGCGTGCGTTTAACTACGACATGTCATCTAAGGGCCATCGAAGTTGCGGTGCGGACCGAGACCCCGATGGCCGTCGACTGTGTTTTTAGCTAATCGGTGGTTGGGGGCGGTGAGAACCGCCCTGGAACGCGGGTGTACCTTGTGTACGCGTTGTGTTGGTCTCGCCGTGCTCGGAGGCGAGGGCGAACTAGTGTGTTTGTTGTTGCACTAACTGTGGGTGTAGTGTTGTCCGGCGGGACCCCCGGCGGTGGGTCCGGCGTATCTAAGTCCCTTCACATTTGTTAAATGTTCCCGCTACATTGATGGTAACACCTCGTGCGGGTGTAGTTTTGAAAATAAAATAAAATATTAAAACAATAATTTATTCACGGGCAAAGACATACTCTATTATATGCGCTTTGTGCATAGATAGAGGGTTGAAATTAATTTTTGCATTACTAATATTTGTGCTGTCGATACAGAATCAGTCCTCATAATGTTCTCTAATTGCATAATAGACATGTTTTAAGAAGAATGTA